ACACACACACACACACACACACACACACACACACACACACACACACAAGCAGGTTCTCCATCTTGTAGAATCTTTCTCCATTCATGTAAAAATATTCCATGGATGTGATGTGTAAAATTGTTGTGTAGATCAAGGAAAAATAGACAACGAAGGTTTGAGTTGAATCAAGGGGTCACATTAAACCAGTGCATGAAGGCAACAATGACAACCATATTTGGCTTCTCCAATCAAGACAAATTAAACATAAATCTGATGAGGAAAAAGCTATGGCTGTGCATATTTAGAGGCTAACTCTTGTCCTGAAATCAAAACTCTGTAGAAAGAACATTTTAAAAGCAATTAACGTATATGAAATATCAGTATAGAGACAACAAATTTGAAAATTATCCTAATAGAGTACATGACAAAAACCTTACAGAAATTCTTTTGGTATAGACAGCACTTCATCAGATGATAATAAGGGCTAACACAAGTACTCATCATGCTGCGTATTGAATGTCACAGAAAATGGCTTACCCTTGTGAAGAGGCTGTGAAAATCTAAGAGTGAAATCAGAAGGCCCCTCTTTAGGCAACATCTGCATGAACCCAATCAACAATGTGTGAACACGGAAGCATCAAACGAACTTCAGGGCCGTGTGGATGTGTTTGTAGAAAGTGGTGGATTTGTGATTGTAATTCAGGAGGAGATTTTTGCATACTAAAGAGTTAATTGTTAAGGAGCCCAGGCTTATTGATCAATACAACTTGTGCTAGAAACTTTGCAAGATGCCACTGCAAGTTGCAGGAATTAAGAATCTACCAAAAAATATTTAATAGCTATCACCATACAAAGTATTCATAGTCTCCAAGCTACATGACATGAAAAACTTTGAAACTATAGGGACCTTAGCAGAAGAAATAAATATCCAGTGGGGAGAAGTATATATCATCCCCATCCTCTCGTCTATTCCCAGAGCCATGCTGAAGATGCTTTAAGAGCAAGAGCTGACAGCCCAATGCTTTTATTTAATTGCAAAAAGAAGCCTTTTCATCCCCCTGCGAAAGGGTCTACAGATAAGGGAAGTCTGATTCTCAGGCTGTTTGTTTCTGTTGGAACACTGTCAAAAGAAATGAGAATGAGATGATGATAATTATTAATTACATTGTTGTTGATGGTGATGATGATGATGATGTCATCAGAGGAGAAATTTGAGCCTAGATCTTTGTGTCTTCCAGTCCAGCACTCTCATGTCCGTTAGAAGGTACACAATTCACTCCCCACAGGATTGAGCAGCATTGAACTATGAGGCATAATAAAAGATGCAGACATTTTCAGAAACTCCCTAGTCTATTTTTCAGAAACTGCATTAGAACCTCTTACTTGAGCTTTGTACTATATCTCTTCACTACTTATCACAGCAGTAACACAAATAGTATGTTTTAAATTGTGTGTCACTGTCAAGGCTTACTGGTATTAAAAATAGTCTACAAGTACTTGGTAATTGTATTTTCAGAAAGCCTTTAAAATTGTTTTAACTGTGCCTTTGTTAAGTAATATTTTCCCATCCCTGATGCCACAGAGCAGGCTTTGCAAATGACATTCTGTTTTTTACCAGTGACTTTATCATTGTTTACATTTGTGTTTATCCTCCCTTTTGACTGCCAACAGCATGCATGAGCCAATTATTCCAAGAGGGGCAAGACAAGGTCCCAGTCAACTCAGAAGGTCCTGCAGCATTTTTGCATATGAGGATATCAAGGAAGTTCATAAAAGGAGGTATCTGTTGCAGGTGAGTTTTGTTTGAATAAAGGAAACTTTATTATAATATTTTAGCTCTGAGAGTTATTATTTTTTATAAAAGCCTATTATAAAGCATGTGACTATTTTTCATGTTTAATCATGCTATAGATAAAATTCTTCCTTTTTGTATGTAACGGTGTGTCTTGCATATCATTTTAAAAGCTAGGCCACAGTATAGCGGTTATGCTTATCAGCTGTCCATCTTTTTCACTCTCTAGGTTTTCATGGCATTGCTGCCTCTTCTCCCACTTGTCTGACTGCTGCTTTCTCATTCCCTTTACTGGATCATCATCCATATCCCAACCCTTACCTATAGGGGAATCCAAGGCTGTACTCTGTGCCTGCTCTTCTCCATACTGTCTTGGTGATTTTATTAGTTCACATGGACTTAATTATAATTACTGTGATCATTGTTCTATATGTGTGTGTGTTAGACAGACACACACACACACACACACACACACACATATATATATGTATGTATGTATGTATGTATGTACGGTGTCCCAAAAGTCTCAGTGCAGTTTAACCTTTTAGATCTTAATTTTGTTAATTTGTAAGTTAAAGTTTAGTTTTAATGAGCTTTAATAGGTTAAAACTTTTGGGACATGCCGTGTATACACACACACACACACACACACACACACACACACACACACACACACACACACACACACACACACACACACACACACACACACGCAGCTACATGGCAGAATAGATAGATGGCCAGGCCTGAAATCAGGAAGACTTATCTTCCTTAATTCAAATCCAGCCTCAGACACTTATTAGCTTGTATGCCCCTGGGCAAGTCACTTAACCCTGTTTGCCTCAGTTCCTCATTTGTAAAAATGTGCTGGAAAAGAAAATGGTGAACTACTCCAGTATCTTTGCCAAGAAAACCCCAAATGGGGTCACGAAGAATTTGACACAGCTGAAATGACTAAACAATATATATGTGTGTATTATATATATATATATATATGTGTGTATATATCTATCTATAATATACATACACACACACACACGCTTTGTATATCTAGCACTAGTCTCTTTCGTGAGCTCTAGGCAAGCATCATCCTGTTAAGACATTTCCTGTCTGACATACCTGTTAAGCCATTTCCAAATGAATTCCCAGAGACATCTCAAACTCAGTGAAAATAGAACTGAAATATGAAATAGATGAAATAGAATTGTTATCTATCCCAAAACCCACCTTTCTTCCAAACTTCCCAATTTTTGTTAAGGGCACCATCATTCTTCCATTCAACCAGCTTCTCAGTGTTAGTATTTTCTTCAACTCCTCACTCTCCCTCACCCCATATAGCCAATAAGTTGACAAATCTTGTGTTTCTACCTCCACAACTTCTCTCACCATCCCCTTCTCTGCATACCCAAGCCTACTACCCTCATAGAGGCCTGCCTCACCTCTTTCCTGGACTACTATCTCAAACCTCCCTATGCTGCCAAAGTCATTTTCCTAAAGTTCAGGTCTAACCATGTCAATCCCCTAGTAAATCCCTTTCTCACCTATACCTCTTACAAACCCTGGCTTTCTTCAGGACTTAGCTTTAGCATCACCTTTTACATCAGCCCAACCCCTCATCTCTCACATTTAGTAAGCTGCCCCATCTTGCTGATCTTACCTCCATCATTTCTCATGCGTTTGTCCCCCTCGCTAAGGCTGCCCTGAAATCTCCACTCTGATGTTTCTAAAGCTTGGAAATTCAGAAGTTTGTATGTGGCCTCTATGTTTGTGAAACATGATTTCGTAACTGTGTTTTTCTCATATTTCTTTTTTTTTTCCAGCCTATTGCTGTGGAAGTTTTCTCAGGAGATGGACGGAATTATCTTCTTGCTTTTCAGAAAGGAGTTAGAAACAAAGTCTACCAGAGGTCTCATCCATTTGAAAACATTTCTATTATATATTATTTTTGGTCATATGAGAGCATATGTTACACTGAAAAGCTAAAGTAGCTAAAAGCCTAGAATTTAGATCCATGTATTATCCAATTTGAAGAAATTACTAATGCTCCAACTTTGCCAACATCTGAAGATCAGTAGTAGAGTCAGCTTTTGTCTTACTACCCTCTTACGTAGTTTTTTAATTGGTGAAATACTTCTTACTCTTCTGGTGACTTGACAGCCGAGTCTTTTTAATTGCTCTTTTTCTTAAAGTAGCAGAGAAATAATTCATTCATTTGAAAATGCTTCTCCAGATGAGGACTAAGAAATTCTTTTTGATGCTTTTAAAACAAGAGGATGCTCTGTCCCTTTGCCTTCATTTCTTTTGAGAATTTGCACACTAATTACCTGTGTGCCCCTGACAGAAGTGGGCAAGCTCATTACCTCCATAAAATCAGTGGGACTTTGATCGGTAAGGTATAAGATGGCCATAGAAATCTTATGTTTCACTTGCCCTAAGCACTGGCCCAGCTGGTAAAATCACAGAAGGGGAAGAGTGGGTAGGGAGGAGTCAGATGCTGAGAGATATAAATAAAAAAATTTGGCAACTAATTGGTAGGAGAGTAGAACCACCTGCAGCCCAGAGGAGTCTACTCTGACCCAGACACTGGCCTGGTTGCCAACCAGCTACCTCTGCAATGGAGATCACTGTCCAACTGGACTCAAATGCCCCAAGCCCCATTGTCAGTCTCCAGGGTAACAGATGCAAGTCTGGTCCTACTCTCTGCTTTATCCCTTAGAGACTGCAAGCTTCTCTTCCCATCTGCGCCACTATTACTCAAAGGTTTCTCCTATTTCTCTTCCTATCCCTATAATAATTATTTAGCAGCCGTTTAGGAGAAACCTCTCCCCTGTCCTGACCTCATACTTTCTCACCCCCATCCTCTTCAGTCTGACCATACCCATGTTCGAATCCATCATTGCCCACCGCCTGCACTAAATGAAGAAATTCAGTGAAAAATAAGAAAACTTATCTTTCTCTGAGAAATTTCTGAGCAAAGAGATACTCCATTCAAATCAGAGGGAGTATGAGATTTTGTGGATTTTCCCATACTTCAGAATGTACGTGTTGAACATCATTGGCTATTCTGTAAAACATTCTGTAATACTATTGTTTGGAAAGATTCCTTTGTAGCTTCGTATGAGTAAAAGTCATTATTTACTGAATTAATTTCACATGATTAGCTACTATGTGAACATATATTAAAATCCTAGATTTTAAGGTAGAAAGGATCCCAGAGTTTATCTAAGGCAAGTTACTCAACTTACTCGTGCACACTTATCTAAGGCAACTTACTTACAGATGAAGAAACTGAGATTAGGAGAAGGTAGTGACAAAACTTATGTTTGAACCCAAACACTCCACCCCACAGCTGCTTCCCGTGATCAATTCTTGGACTTCTTATCTGATAGTCATGTAAGAAATCCCAAGTCCTCTTAGCGAATGTTCATTTGAAACCAGACAACTGATGAGAATTTTTGCTAATGAAGAAGAATGTGGAAAACAATTTTTAAAATCTTATCATGGAAAAATCTTTACATTTGACTTTGGAAATTCATGATTTTTTCTGACATATTTAACATAATTGTGTTGGAGTTTTTGGGGTTTTTAGTTGTGTTTTTTTTTTTCTTTAGCTCTTGTGAAAATTATTTCACATTCCTAGAGCCAACAGTAACTGAGTAACAGGGTTGAATAAACAGGCAAAAGCTAGGTGGTAGCAACAAGACAATCTATAGTTTACAGTGTCATCTTTTTAGTAAATAGCTTAATATATACCGTGTTAATGCAGGTGTTGATTTGGTTTCTAAAGTAATTACTGTTTTTCATTATCCAGATTTTTGGCTGTTGTGCCGTCTTTGACAGACAGTTCAGAATCTGTGTCTGGGCAGCGACCAAACACTAGTGTGGAACAAGGGTAAGTTTATCACCCAGTGATTGGGAGAGCAAATGTATTCCTGTTGGGTGGGGAAAAAAAGAGAAGGCAGTTGAGCATTCCACATTCTTCTTCCCCTTTCACAGTTGGTAGACACAACTTTAGTTGACAGTGCTTCATAGTACATAGGAACAAAACAAGCGCCCAAGTATTTTCTTGGAAAATGGTGGACTTACTGTAAGTTCAGTAACCTTGTCCTGGATTTTCATGAAGTTGAGACCAGACAGCTTTAGAGGTCTCTTCTAATTCTTTATGGTTGCTATAGAAATTATAATCTGATTGTAATCCATGTGGTTCTAAATAGATACTTTTTAAAAGTCAGTTGTGTGTGTCATTAAAAAAATTGAAGTTACCTTTTTTTATTTTCTATAACTGTAACTTAATAGGAAGGAGTATAAGATATGTCACTGTTTCTAATGCTCAAAGGCATTTTTAATTGTCACAAGAAATACAGTAGGCCAACAACTCCCTTAGAGCAAGTTTTTCCTTTCTTTACTGGTAGTCATGTTTTAGTACTCTGCCATGACCTGTCTTGTTGCCTGAATAATCTCTACACTTGCCAATTGCAAGGCTCTTACTGCTCTCAATGAATCTGTACTTTTCCAAGAACTTTTAAAAACTTGTAGGAAAGAAGCAGGAATTCATTTCCAGTTTCAATATCACTTTCTCATTGTTTCTCTTAGTTTCAAATCTTAGTGTATTTCATTAATTCTTACAAATTCAGTTCTGAATGAGAAAATGTAGTGTCTTTGTTACTGAACTGAATAGTTTTCCATAACCTTGGTGTGTTCAGAAGCAGCCTGGTATAGTGAACTGAGGACTGGGCATTCAGGAAACTCCCTGAGCCTTCAATGGAGCTAATAACAGCACCTTTCTTATAGGGTTGTTTTGAGCATTAAAGGAGACAATGTATGTGAGCTGCTATAATTTGTAAATAAATGCCTTGTGAGCGTTAATTTTTCTTCATTATTCAAAAGTATTTCTTCCCTCATTAACAATTACTAACTCCAGAATTACCGAATCTCAGATGAACCTCTGTGCCCATCTAACCAAGAATTTATAACTCAGAACTCATTTCTGCATATAATTTTCAATGTCAAACTCATAATGTTTCCAGAGCAGATCAAGGATGGGTAAATAGCACTGTGGTGAGGGTCTTAGGGGAGCTTTCCAAAACCTAGGGGTTTGGTTGGTATGGATGATTAGCCCAGCAAAAGCAAGGGGAAGGATAAAAGATTTATTTAGCTTATTAAGTGTGTTGAATATAGAACAAGGATGAATCATGTTCTTGTCCTTGTCATGGTTCTCATTTGATTGAAATCTAAGACCTCCACTTGTCTTCCCATCCCAGTGGAAACCGCAGAATGATGGTTGGAGGCTGATACAGGCCTGCATATTGTAGGAGAGTCAGAAGAGGCACCAGGCCCCTGTGCTAGATGGAATGAATGGATAAATGAAGAAGTATTTGTTAAGCACTTACTATGTGCCAAGTGCTGGGGATACAGAAAGAAAAAGCTAGATGGCCCCTGCCCACAGTTAGCTCACAGTCTAATTGGGAAAGAAAACACTTAGAAGAAAGTTCTGCTGTAAAGTTGATGGCAAGGCCCAAAGGCCTTAGGTCAACTTAATTACTTAAGATGACAATACCAGGGGCAGCTAAGTGGTGCAATGGATAGAGCACCAGCCCTGGAGTCTTGAGGATCTGAGTTCAGATCCGGCCTTCTTACTAGCTGTGTGACCCTGGACAAGTCACTTAATCCCATTGCCTACCCCCCCAAAAAAAAAAGAGAAAAAAAAAAGATGACAATACCAAGAGACTGCATGACGTAGAGGCAGAGCAGAGGGTAAGGCCTGGAATATCTCAGATGGGAGGGGCAGGGGATATGGTAAGACCTGGTGGTCCTCCATCTCCATCTGAAATTATTAACTTCCATCTCACTCATTCAAACCCTGTGAGCAGTTAAGTAGCCCAGGCAATGGTGAAGGGTAAGGGATTGAGTGCTCTCCCCACTACCTCACTTACCAGATGGGCTCCAGGTAGGACTAGGGTAGAGGAAGAGGGCAAGGGGAGTAGGGTAGCAGCTCTTCCCACTACCCTGCAGTCCCAGGTAGTTTAATGGGCCCGGGGGGAATAAGATTGTCTACCAAACACCGTGTCACCAGTGCAAAAGCCCTCAGTTATGCATGAAACAAAGAAAACTTTATGCTCTTTCTGTCTACATGGCAGGGTGGCAGAGCAGAAGGGGGAGTAGGAGGCGCTGTATCCCTTATCACCCCCAATTCCCCTTGTGATCTTGTCTGCTTTCTATTTGAGGGATTTCCTCTGTTAAATTCCACAGGACAGCTGGGGAACTTCCCCCTTGAAATTCTGTTGGCTTCCTCCATGATGAAAAGTCTAGATTTGGCCTGTGTACCTGGCCTCCATTATGAGTACAGACCTATCAAAAGTACACAGTTGGAAATTATGCAAATCACAGTGACCTTTGTGAAAATCCTTGCATTAAACAGATAGTGCATTGAGATTTTATCACTACGTGTTACTCTCAGAGTTTAAACGGTATTCTCCAAGTCTTCTGTTTCTTTGCCTCCTAGGTCTGGGTTGCTTAGCACTTTAGTAGGTGAGAAGTCTGTAACACAGAGATGGGAGGTAAGCTTAATGAAAATTAGTTAATCTTTCCTAATAGTTTATAATTTAAAGTTTTGTGACCACACAGTCAGGAAAGCACTTAAGCTATGCTTTATTATGCTAAGGCTTGGAAACTATGTTCTTCAAACATTTTTGCTTTGGAATGTGTTTTGTTTTTATACTAAAAAAATTATTTTGACTATTGTTTAGTAATTACTTAGTAATTGAGTAACATTATTTAGTAATTAAAACCTGAAATAAGAACCAGCGCACAAAAATATACTTTCTGATGCTGCCACATTGTAAGTATAAAATAAAATGTAAAAGCTATGATGATGACAAAAGTCAGAGTAATTGAATATACTGAAATGAGCTACAACATTAATATTTATTTTTCTTTATTAAGAGAGGGGAAATCAGCAATTTCCAGTACCTGATGCACTTGAACACCTTGGCTGGCAGATCTTACAATGACCTCATGCAGTACCCAGTCTTCCCCTGGGTCCTAGCAGACTATGACTCCCAGGTAAATCTCTCATTATTCTCTTGAAGTAGAATACAACTTTAAAAGAATGAAGATGTTCCAATTTCTTAAATTTTTATTTACTTCATTTTTTTCTAATCAGTAACAGTTTTGAAGGACCCTAATATGTGTTTCTATCAATTCTAGAACCTTACTATTTTGCTCATTTTGTTACTAGTTCTTAGTGTAATCTTTTATTGCTTGTGTTTGTATTCTTAGCTTTTAACCTCATGTAGGAATAAATGCTGCTGCCTTGACTCTTTTGGCTTTTGCTTAAGCTGCATTGTGGGGCAATACAGAGAGAGCGGGCCTTGCAGTCAGGAAGACGGGCTTCAGGTTTTGCCTCAGACAGTGTTGTGTGACCCAAGTCACTCTTGGAAGCCTTTAAGTTGTGCTGATCTGCATTCGTAGACAGATGTCTCACTGGGATTCCATATGCCACAGAAATCCCAGGTCTGGCCCCACAAATCTATTTTAGCTCTCCAGCATGTCATCAACATATGGAGTCACGCACCATGAGAAGCAAGAAATATTCCCCTCAACTCTGTTTGACGTCTTCAGCAGTCTCATCACCCTCTGGAAAGTCTTTGTCGCTAATCTCAGGAGGTAGCGCAGCATGAGGCCCTCACTGCGGGGGAGTCAGGTGTTTGCCCAGCATTTTCTCCCATTCCTCTTAGGGGCTTTGAACCTTGTCTGAGTCATCTGGACTGACCACAGTAGCATCCGTGTGTCTGTTGGACATACAGGGTAGGCCAGAAGTCAGTGCAGCAGTGAAGCTATGAAGCAGGAACCACTGCATCACATTTAAGCTATTAAAGCTTAACTAAAACACTCCCAGTCTTTGCCAACACCCCAGAGTTAGTGGCAGGTGCCTGCTCTGCTCCACAGCTGTCTGATTGGCTGTTAATTCCTTCTTGCAGGTTACAGTCAAATAGCAATGATTCAGGATAATTGGAAAGACCTAAGGAAGAGCTAGTGGAAAGAGCACCGAACTTAAGTCATTGAAGGAACTGAGTTCAAATCCTAGCTTGCTCCTTATTCCCTAGGTGACTTTGAACATCTTACTTGGACTTCAGTTTCCTCATCTCTGAAAGGAAGGAAAGGGAGGATGTTCACAAGGTTGACCCAAGGTCTCTTACAGCTCTGGAGCTGTACTCCACCAATTTAAATTCACAAATTCAAATTTAGTCAAATAGTATGCATTGGAAAAGACAGAAGTCAGCATATGGAGATTTCTTAAAGTGTTTAAAAATATTGAAAGTATTGTTCAGTAAAACATTACTGTCAGGTGGGAGGAGTTATTTTGTATTAAGTAGCGCAGATAAGTGGATTCAGAATCATTACGAAAAGAGGCAAATTTTTTTCATCTTTTCTCTTTTGTTTTAGTTTCTATCTAGTGAGGCTTTAATGATCAATTTTAAAAACCAAAGGCAGAACAAAAGGAAGGAGGAGAAGTTTGCACCTGAATTTTATACAGCTTGTGTAATCTACCCTGCTAGATGGTAGATGCCCCACTCTGACCAGACTGATTTGTTATGGGTTTCATTTCAGAGGAGAACTTCTGTTGGACAACACTGCTACCCAGAAAGTCCTCCCTTTTGTAGTGATTCATAAAAGACAAAAGAGGACATAGTCCCTGCCCTCAGGATGGTGACATTTTAAAGAAAGAAAAAAAGGAGGAGACAAAATAGAGGATAAAATATATTGATAAGCATACATATGTTGCTGAAATTTACAAGATACACAATTTTTGGATAATTTATGCACCTAAGTGCACATCTAGAAAATATTTAAGTGAGAGAGGGAAAAGATCAGAGGTAAGGTCAGGGGTTTTTTTCTCTTTAAATCAATCAAGGAAGATTTCTTCGAAGGTTGGGATTGGAGAAAATGGCTAGAGAAGACATTGTTTGGTGGAGAAGAAACAATGAAACTTTCTAGTTTACACTTGGTTATATAGTTGAAGCAGAGTGTGAGAGAGCAGGTTCTAATAACATGGCTTATGTTCATAAAAGTGAATTTATTCTTTCCAGCCCAATTCTATTCCATAAAACCAGGAACTCCACAGATTAAACCTTACGTTTTAAAACCTCACTGATTGGTAATCACTGATTTCGATCGTTGGGAGAGGCCACAGGATAGATAACAGATAGAAACCCAGCCTCTAACAAAGCTAGGAAGACCTACGTGCAGGTCCCAGCTCTGAGAGAGACTGGCAGAGTGGTCCCCAACCTCTGAGCACCCTGGGCAGCTCTCCAGACTGTACACTGCAGAGAAGGTGATGGTTGGCAGAAGGAAGAGTCTCCTAATCCAGGCGTTCCATACTGATAAACTGAATAGGCCAAAGACTAGTCGGTATGATCTAGTGACTGGTACAAATAAAATAGACAGGTGGGAATTTCAGACTTCTACCTCTGAAATCTTCATGTGCTGGATTGATCAATTGATAAGTTAGTTAATTGGATCAGGTAAATATTAGGTCTCTAAAACAATCTCCATTAGACTGAGGCAAAAAAAAGACTCCTTCCTGGGAATACTTCATCTGTTGCTGCCTGACCTTTAAAGATAGACACACATTAAAAAGATAGCTGGCCAGTGATTATCGCCTCTAAGTTTTATCAAATCACCTACAAGATCAAAACATTGGGAGCTCATCATGGTAGGGAAGGTAAAAGGAGCAAATGACCCCATGGTTTTATGGGTGATACTACAGAAGGTGATGAATTAGAGGCTTATCTGGTATCTTCACAGAGCCCCAATTCAGAGTTCAGAGGTTCACCGCTCCTTCTCCAGCACCTTGGAGAGTTCCATACACAGAGTAGTAATTTACCATATGCTGAATTAGGTGGCTCATATACTCCAGACCTCACCTGCATGCTTTTCTTAAGGGAATATGCAGTTGCTTCCGAAGTGATTATCTTCTGAATGACTTGGTCAGTCACATCTGCTACGTAGTGTTGGCACGGATGTAAAAGTGACCCATACTTAGCTGACTAGGAGCCAGTATTTATAGTCTAGCTCCTCAGGATTCCGGATGCTTCTTGGAATTTCTGTCTTCTTGGAGCACAGATGTACATCCCCACATATGCTGAAGCCTCAACCTGTTTATACTTATGTTGGTCAAAACAAAGGGCTTTCAAACATTTGGATTTGGGTTTTGCTTTGTATTTTAGGAAGTTGACCTCACTAATCCCAAGACATTCAGAAACCTAGCCAAGCCTATGGGAGCACAGACAGATGAAAGATTAACTCAATACAAGAAGCGTTATAGAGACTGGGAAGATCCTAATGGTAAGTAGTGGTGAGGCTGGAGAAATTGGGAGGAAATTTCAGAACCACACTTTGAATATTTCTTCAAATGCCCCCATTAGATTTTTTTTCTTGGTTTTATACATTGTATTTTCTACTGCCAACCTTGATGCTAATCCTGTCTAAGACTCCAACTAAATTGTATTTTAATTCCTAGTATATCTCCATCTTCCTGCCGTCATGTCTTTGCTCACACTGTTCACCACATGTAGAATGCTCTTCCTTACCTCTCTTCCTCAGCTACCTTTTAAAATCCTACGTATCCTTCAAGGTCCAGCTCAAATGCCATGTCTCCCAGAACCTGCCCCCTGCTGTCCACAGTGAGAAATGATATTCCCTTTCTCCAAGTACACATAGCATTTTTTACTCCTCTTGTTCTCATCCCCTATTCTCTTCTGCATTCTAGTTATTGGATAGCATTGCATATTTATGTGTCTGTTTCGGAGTCCCACTACTAGCTTGTAAGATCCATGAGGAAAGGTACCAGGTCTTAATTATCCTTATATTTTCTCCAGTCTCCACCACAGTAATTTGTGTATGGTAGATGCTAAGTAAGTGGTTGTTGAGTGAGTGAATGAATCAGTTGCTGAGTAAATAGAAATATTACATTTGTATGTTAGCACAGTAGATAGAGCACTGGGACTTGGAGTCAAGATCTGAGTTCAAATCCTGAATTCAGTAGTTATGCAACCATAGACTTCTCCCTGCCTCAGTTTCTATATCTGTAAAAATGAGGATAGTCATAGCATCTACCTCAGGGTTGCTGTGTGGACAAAATGAGATAACACTTTGCCATTATTATTATTATTGGATTATTAATGAAATAATGGTTTATAGAATTATTACAAGGTACTTTTCAAAAGGATATTAGAGGGGGCAGCTAGGTGGTGCAGTGGATAGAGCACCAGCCCTGAAGTCTGGAGGACCTGAGTTCAAATCCAGCCTCAGACAAAACACTTGGCACTTACTAGCTGTATGACCCTGGGCAAGTGACTTAACCCTAATTGCCAAAAAAAAAAAAAAAGGATATTAGAGGTACTGGTAGCAATTCTGAATTAACAGTACCATCCTATCAAACTTAAATATACTTGCTTTGAGCGGGTAGATCACCTTATTAGAAAGAAGTCCTTGACTTTTAATATGTCTTGAATAGTGTTGAGAATTGTCATAGTAAAACTATCCTCTGTCTCCCCCCCATTTAAGAGCCTCACTTCATACTTTACAGAGAAACTATGTCTGAGCTCCTTCTCCTCTCCTCTATCTCTGAACGCCTCTTGACATGATCCCCACTCTCCATTCTCTCCTCCTCTACTCCAGGCTCTGCTGAGGGGGTCTTTCTCATTAAGACCAACATCCCATCTCTTTCCATCTTTTAAAATAGATCGTCTTTAGTCATCCCCACTCAAGTCTTTCTGATCGTCAGTATCTGCTTGTCACTGCCACCTACACATGCCCAAGTTACCCCATCCTTAAAAAACTTCCCTACACATCCGCGCAAGATGGTGTCCTATAGCTCTCCTCCTTTTTCTAGCCAAACTTCTAGAAAAAATAAATCTAGACTTATCGCCCCCATTTCATTTCCTCTCACTCACTCACTCTTACCCTTTACAGTCTGGCTTCTGACTTCCTCATTCATCTGAAACTGCACTTTCTGTAGCTGTCAGTGACATCTTAATTGACAAATCGCTTGGTCTTTTCTTAGCATTTGGCATGGTCAAGTATCCTTTCTTCATGATATATATTCTTTTTGGGTTTTTGTTAACACTACTTTCTCCTGATTCTGCTGTCTGTCTGTGCTGACTGATCATCCATATCACCTTAACGATAGGGGATCCCCCATCGCCAAGACTTTATCCTAGGCCTTCTCTTTTCATTTTCTTTCTCTGTCACTTGGTGACCTTCCTAGCTCCCACTGATTTAATTACCATCTCTTTGTTGATGACTCCCAGTTTTATATCTCCAACCCTAGTCTCTGTCTCCTGAACCCAGTACAACATCACTTCCTGCCTATTAGAATTTCTACATTGTATGTCCCAGACCTCTCAAATTATCTTCTCTCCAAAACACACCCCCTTTTCAGAATCTCCCTATTTCTTTCAAAGGCACCACTAGTTGCTGTCACGAGGTTGTGTAACTTCAGCATTACTTGGACTCCTCATCCTCCCTCACTCACACATCCAAGCCGTTGCCAGATCTTGTTGTTTCTGCCACCACAGTGTCTCTTGTGCCTCTGCTCTCTGTTCTCACAGGCCCTTGTCACCTCCCACCTTGACCATGTCAGTGACCTCTGAATTTATCTTCCATGTCACTTCTCTCACTGCTCCAATCTCTCCTCTGCACAGTTGCCAAAATGGCGTTCCTGAAGCACAGCTCTGACCATGGCACTCTCCCACTCAGTGAACTCGCATGGCTGCCTACTGCCTCGAGAAGAAAACACAAATTTCTCCACTGGGCATTTAAAGCCCTTGGTGACCTGGCCCAGTGTACCTTATACTGCCTCACTATACATTACTCATATCCCCCAGGCAGCCAGCCTGGCCCTTTAATGTTTCTCCTTCCTGGCATGACACTACCTATCCCCATATTGGCAGCAGCATGTCCCCCCTCCCCAGAGAATCCTTCACTTCCTTCAGAAATGAGCTCAAGTGTTGCCTTCTCCATGGCACCTCTGCTGACTTCCCCCAACACCGAGGCCTAGGATGCCCTCTACCCAGAATACTTGGTATTTATTTTTTTCTATATTCCATATATATTTATATCTGTACATGTATATGTGTACATGTTCTATCTCAAAAATAAGCTCCTTAAGTGCAAGGATTGTTTTATTCCTTGAATTTATATCCCCGGCACCACCTATGTGCTTGGGCATATTGAAGGAGCTTAATAAATATTAGTCGATTGATTCATAAAAATAGTAGAAAATTCATAGGCAACAATTCAGAAAATATTTGAGCATCAAGGCCATTAAATACCACCAAATTAAATATGTGTGTGTGTGTGTATAGTTCAGTATTCTCCTTTAGCTGAAGGACAGTGTGGTTATTAATTCAAAAATGCTTGACTGCTGAGAAATCATGCCTGGTGCATTATCGCCACATATTTAAATGAGGGCTCAAAATGTCATTATCAAGTCTGAGAGGGCTTACTTTCTTTTCTTTTCTTTTCTTTTTTTAATATTTTTTCAACATTCACTTCTATAGGATTTTGAGTTCCAAATTTTTTTCTCCCTCTCCCCTGCCCAAGACAGCATACAATCTGATACAGACTATACATGTACAATCATATTAAACATTAGTCATGTTGTGAAAGAAGAATCAGATCAGAAAGGGACAAGAGGGCTTACTTTCAATGGAGTGAAACCTCCACATACAGTAGCGTCACTTGTCCCATAGTCGGCCTTTTCAGGCCTATTAAACTTTTCTTCTATTGCCAACATTATGTCTTAGTTACGGTTTTCATTTTCTTTCCCAGGAGAAACCCCGGCGTACCATTATGGCACCCACTACTCTTCTGCGATGATCGTAGCCTCCTACCTTGTTCGGATGGAGCCTTTTACCCAGATCTTCCTGAGACTTCAGGTAAGTCAGGCCATCTGCTGTGTCATGGCACCTTGTGTCAGGAGAAGAAAGGCGAAACAGGAGTGACAGACGTGAAGAGACAAAGTATACTACTAGGACCCACTGAATTGAGACTGATTAGAAATCCAGGCCAGGTATAAAATGTCATCACAGTACCCAATTTAAGATTTCCCAATATATACAAGCTAATGTGATTTCAAGCTAAACTCCAAATATAGACCTAACCCCTATCTAAAATGCTGCAGGTGAAATCCATCAGCTTCTTATTGAAATTAAGGTTCAGTAGTTCCATTTACTTCTTGGTCACTGAAGTTATTCTCTGCTCTTTTTTTCCTCTTTTATTCTAAAACTCTGTGCCCTTAAATGAAACAATGAATATGCTTCTGAAATTTTTTGTGGAGAGAATGCTTTTCCCATTTTTAGTACTCTGTTTATTACAAAATAAGATTGTGTAAGGGGAAGAGCATCATTTTTCTCATTCAGCAAGTGTGTTTCTTGTTGTATGTGTTTGATTTTTAATAGTTAGGAAATTGCGGTGTCACAGAAGGGGCTGATGATTGGTGGTCCCTAGCTTGGAGATCTCTGCTTTGAAGCTGTTTCCATTTTATTCCATAGGGTGGCCACTTTGACCTGGCTGACCGAATGTTTCACAGTGTGCGAGAAGCCTGGTACTCTGCTTCAAAGCACAACATGGCGGACGTGAAAGAACTCATCCCAGAATTCTTTTACCTCCCAGAGTTCCTTCTCAACTCGAACAACTTTGATCTAGGTATGGAAAAGTTCCTGGCAATATTTGGAGTGGGGAAAGGTCATAAAGAAAGACAAGTACTTAACAAAAAAGATTTTCAGATTAGTGGCTATGGCAGAGAATAGGTTTTGGCGAATACCAAAAGCACCATCTGTGGGTATTTTCTGAAATCAAACTAAATATATGAAAACTAAGACATAATCCAGATTCATCCAGAGCAGCAATTCTAGAACCAGATCTTTGGTAATAAGTATAGAGAGATATATACTTTATAGTTATTTAAATGCACAAATAAATCATAGTTGAAAATATGCTGACGTTAATGTTGTAAAAGTCAAATTAAACTTTAGCTAGTCCCTCTCCTAACTTTTTTTTAAGCTTGCTATTGCTTGAGGGTGCTGCCACCTTACTACAGATAATTTTTTTTTAAATTTTTCTTATCTACTATGTTAGATTGTAAACTTCTTGAAAAGTAAGAATTTATCTCTCTCCCTCCCAGAGTAATAGCACAATGCCTTGCTTGTAGTAGGAGTTCATAAGACGCATTTGTTCGGGGATTGAATCTAAGAATTTGTATCCCAACGTGTTTTCAGTTTTGGATTTCAGAATAACTTTTGGTCAGTCCTTTCTGCTTGTCTTGTTGGCAGTAGAGAAGCCTGCAGTTTCCTGGCTAAACACGATCCAGATCAACACTGAGCACCTTAATCAGTACTCTGGACCAGGGCTTCTTCAGTTTTTTCCACTCGAGACCCCTTCAGTGCTTCTTAAACAGAGTTTAAGAAGTGCTGCTTCTAGACTAGCAGTAGTGAAAGGAAAAAAGATTTGTGCTTGGTTGAAAGCTCTCCCTTAGAGCAGAAGTCTTAGCCTAATTCCCACTCCCACAGATGCGGCTTGGCTCCTAGGGCAAGACTGCATCTCCTCCAAGGGTTCTAGGCTTACCCCTGAGAAGTTAGGGGTGATTCCCTAATTCCATAGGCCCGAGCCCCCCCGGCGTGCTTCCCCCCCCAAGATTATCAGTTGACAATCACTTTAATTAGCCAGCCTTCAGTTGCTTTTAGAAAGCAATACAGTGAGGAGAGTTGGTAGAAAATGTCCCCTTAAAAGTCTGACACATTCTTCCATAAGTATATGCAGAGTTGAAGGAAGATGGGCTCAAGCTCAGAGTCCAGAATGTGGATTCGTGCAGGTGGGCACTCACATAATCACATTCCAAAGCCTGTAATTATAAGACACAGACGTTGTAGGGAGCAAGCTCCTAATGAGCTAATGGAATGGCTCAAATCTGGAGGTTCGAAGACCTTCTCCAAAATCAACTCTGTTATTTAATGTTTCAAGCATTATCTAGCCTACCGTGACTCTTACTTAGATGTGAAGTTGCTACTGGGTTGGTTGTATTTTGTTTTGTTTGTGTGTGTGTGTTTTTTTCTTATTTTAAAAAAAAATCATATTCAATTGTTCAGGCTGCAAACAGAATGGCACCAAGCTTGGAAATGTGATACTTCCACCGTGGGCAAAAGGAGACCCTCGAGAATTCATCCGAGTCCATCGAGAGGTAAGCAGGCAACCCTGGAGAGGAAAACTGGACTCCATTTGGGCAAAGGTCATGATGCCAGGAGAGGGGAATGAGATTTACCTGTCACCCTACGTTACTGATCTAATTTTGGTGATTTTCATTGTTAGCGGTTCTTTTATCTGTTACAGTTATTGGTGACTTACTTTCTAAGTGGACAGTTGAGAGCTTGCTCCCTACAACGTCTGTGTCTTATAATTACAGGCTTTGGAATGTGATTATGTGAGTGCCCACCTGCACGAATGGATCGACTTAATCTTTGGCTATAAACAGCAAGGCCCTGCTGCGGTAGAAGCTGTAAATGTCTTCCATCACCTCTTTTATGAGGGTCAAGTGGATATCTACAACATAAATGACCCATTAAAAGAGACAGCTACCATAGGATTCATTAATAACTTTGGACAGATACCAAAACAGGTACAGTTGTTTTCTTGGAGATTTGTTGTTGTTGTAATTTTCATACAATTTTTTGTTAAAAGATCTTATGCAGTTTTCCATGTTTTAAATATTCTGTAACCGACCCTTCAGATAAAAATGCACACATAAAAGTTTCAGTTTAGGATATTAAGAGATAACTCTAAATAGCATTACATTGGAATCTGCATCTGTTCTCTTCACAATACCCAAGAAGATAAGTTTGTTGTTTAAGGAAATTAATCCTCTGAAGACCAGTACAAAGTGCACATTCCAAGTGAAATGTGCAAAGCCTGAGGACATGCGCTGCTGTCCTAGTTGCTTCTTGATAAGCTTTGATGTGCTTTCTGGTGGCTGTGCACAGAGCTTTATTTGGACTACACATCACTTTGGGTTTGCTTATTCATGTATGTGTGTGTTTGTGACTTGTTATGATTTTTAGATTCAGAGCCTGAGTCGACTGGACAATTTTAGTTAATGTGGTTAGTTATATTTTGAGTCTTACTTGTATTGCAACTACTCAAAGAGGAAGAAAGCCCTTTGGAATCAAACTAATACATCCTTTTTTTTTTTCAATGTAAGCCATATCTCTGAACTGCCACATTTGCTTGTTTTTCCATGAACCTAGACGATTTTTTTTTCTTTAAGTCTTACAGACTTTTGTTTTCACATTGTCATCGTTTCCCTCCTCTTTTTTTCTCTCCCTCTTTAAGGGGGTCATGCTTCTTAATTTCCTCTTCCTAATGTACTCAGTTGTCTCTGCATTAGTTTCCAGGTTTTCCCATGTTTCTCTGAATACCTCGTATTTGTCTTTCCTTAGGACACATATCTCAGGTCATTGATATACATCAATATGTTTGTTCTGCCATTTCCCCTCTAATGAGCATTCACTTTGTTCCTAGTTCTTTGCTGCACCAAAAGTGTTGCTATTGATATTTTGATAAAAATGGATGGGACTTTTTCAGTCTTTGTTCTCCTTAGGGTATGCCCTAGCAGTGAGATCTCTGGGTCCAAGACAATTCAACTTCCAGAAGGTAGAACCAGTATCAGTAAGCATATGAGAAGATGAACATCCTTAAGTCCATTTTAACTCATTTAGGAATCACATAAATTGTGTAATGAAACTGAAAAAAAATGTAAGGTGATTAACCAGATTGTTTCAAATCTATATTAATGATAAAATGTTTGAAAAAATAACAGCAAAATCACTATGAGGCTTGTTGGCAAATTATTTTCCTCATGAGCTGAAGATAGCGCAAGTATTATTATTCCCATTTGGCATATACCTGCACAGAAGGGCTTTTTCAAAGCTTCATCATGGCACAGAGATGACATTGAGTTCTCAAAGGTTCTACCAGCTCTGGTGCGTTTTACCAAAGTAGAAGGACTGTGCACTCTCCTTGTAATGGCCTCTGTCTTTTGTCTGAGGCCTAACATAGATAATGTCATGAAGGACCATCTTAGCCCATGGGCTGCTAAGTGATGAATTCTTTGGCCCTGGGTATATGAAAGTACTTTAATGGGTGTGTGAGCCCATTGCTGTGACCATTCACTTCAACACTTTAGGCTATAGCCATCCATGCCTGCCCGTCCTGCCCATCTCTTGTCCAAGTGCTCCCACAGATTGGCCACGGGGTTTCTTCCCACTGTGGTGACAGGATTTCTTCCTTTCCTGGCATTGCAGAAACACCAGTGTAGTATGTGATCTGTCCATAGATTATCCTTTACTTTCATCGTACAACCAGCCCATCTTTTTGGCTCATGCATTTCTTTGTTGACATCCTAATTCAGCTTCTTCTCCATAATTCCCTGCTTGTAATATGTCACAGCCCTCTCACAGCCACCATGGGCCTCTCCATTTCCCTCTGGGAGATTCAAGAACTTCAGCTCTTGGGAGACAGATCTATCACAGCTTCACAAAACCAGGAAGATTATTGGTGTGTGTGTGTGTGTGTGTGTTTTTAAATGGGCATTTGTTTCAGAGAGAAATTTGGAATCACTGAAAGAACTTTGCAGTTTACCAGAGGCAATTTTTCCTGCTTTTCCCATCCTTTTCAACAGTTCTGGGCCCAGCTCATTGTGCATTGGCTATCATACATGCATGCATGTACATACGCATACATGCATGTACATATGCATACATGCATATACATGTATATGTTTGTGTGGGTAAACACATACATATTTATATACACACGTTTGTGTGTCTAATTATCACCATTTTCTTAGAAAAGTAAGATTGCTATTTTAAAAAGAACACTGGACTTGGAACCAAATTTATTCTTTGCTTTGTCCTAACTGTTATGGGCCTCAGTTTTCTCATCTATAAAATGAAGGAGAATGGAATAAAGTAGAATGAAACATATGCTTACTATATGCCTTGCACCATGATAAGTGTTGGAGATACAAGTAGGAAAACAAGACAGTCCCTGTACTCAGAGAAGCTTCTAATTAGGAGGGTTCAGCTGTAGGACTCATGGAAAGGCCGATGAGTGGAGCCGCAAGGCACGTGGCAAAGCCAGCCAGGTAGCAGTGTCCAGAGGGCACAGCTGCCAGGCTGTCGATAAGGCCTGGGAGGCACTATCTTACCCAGAAGCATTGCAGCTCTCTGCTTATCCAGGTGCTGCGAGCAGCCCTGCTGCCAGCCAGTGACTATTGGGAAGAGAATCGTGGTTATCTCCAGATATTACACAGTTTCCTCATCTATAAAACAATGAGGATTGGCTTCAGTGAACATTAAGTTTGACTTAGTTAAGTCTATGTACACAGTTTCATGGAAGGCACAAAGTAAGATGTGGTCCCAGCCTTACAGTGCAGAAGGACCAGATAATAATGCAGGAGAAGTGCATTGGAGAAGAATGTGTGAGGCCCAAAGGGGAAATGCTTGTTTCTGGTTGGGGCTGGGTGGGAGTCTCCCTGGAGAAGGCGTCCATCCATGTTGAGGTAAGAGGAGACGAGGCTATTCCAGGCCTGGGGGCAGTGGTTCCAAGACAGGAAACCACAAGCCCAGCGTTTGAGATGAGCTTCAAACAAGACAGTGGAGATAAAGCTATCCACACCCTCTGAAGTGCCTTACACAAATGTCAATCCGGGTGCAGAAAAAGGAGCTCCAGATTCAAGTGAAGTGGGATCAGATTCCAGCTTGGACACTGGGGAGCTCTGGGCTAGCCGCTTATCCTCCTTAGCCTCGGTTTTCTCATCTGTAAAACAAGGGGCCTTGAGTAGACAGCTCCTTGGGTGCCTTCCAGCCCTAACTCTGTGATCCTGGGACCTCTGGTTTTTACCAGCACTCCTACCAGCAATGCACATTGGAAATCCCTCTGTGCCTTATGGTAGAGGGTCTTCCCAAGTGCAGAGGTTGTAAAGTTTCACCCACACTGTCAACTTCTGGTGGTGAGCTTTCCACATTGAGGGAGGCTAGTCTTTGAAGAACAGGTCAGCCATCACCCTCAAGCCTGTCCGTATTTAGTCCCATTCCCGTTGATTGGGGTGAACCAGAACTTGAGCTTCACTTGGTCAGGGTTCGGGAGCTCAGGTCCCTCCACACTGTGGTGAGGTGACACCTTAGTGAACAGCAACAGGCACCATTGTCATCCTTTCTCTGTGGGGTTCACTTGTCTTAGACTCGTTCCTTTGACCACATCTTTCTGTTACTGTATTATTCCTCAGATACTTACGTATAGACTTAACTGTTGTTTTTTAAGAATTAAAATAGGATAGCTTTTGATGCCCACCTACAAGAGGCACAGAAATGCTACTCTGGTTAGTATATGCAGAAACCAGGTGGTTAAAATGCCAGCTAGTGCCGCTGGGTATAATGAAAGTGTTAGGTAAGAATAGGCCAGGAACCCTGGCTTCACAGCCCACTCCAGACGCCAGCTGCATGATTATGGGCAAGTCCCTTACCTTCTGAGTCTGTTTCTTCACCCAGTGCTTCATCCTTCGTGGGCTCATGAGGAGAGCACCTGCCAACCTGATGGCATTATCTAAAAGTGGGTTATTTGTATCCCTAGCTTCATCAGAGGATCGGTGACTTAGAGCTGGAAAAGGCCTTAGAGATCCACTGGTTCAGTCCCTTTGTTTTATTGATGAGAAAACCAAGGCCTACCAAGATTAACTTCCCAGGGTCATGCGGTGGCAGATCCAGAATTGGAGCCCAGAGCCTCTGACTCCAAATATTTTTTTTTCTCTTTCCTCTCCACCACACTGCCTCCCAATGATAGTGGTTCAAAGTATGCAAATCTTTGAGGTCTATTTTAGTTTCTTATGCCTTTTATTAATACTTGTAGGAATAACAAAGTCCTGAACTCATGTCTTGGAATGTGACGTGGAAATAAAGATTTTTACATGTTTGGAGGTCTAAAATACGTTGACCTTTCCTCATTAAACTACGTGTGTCAATACCTTGTCCCAGAAAAATAAAATATTGGTTTGAAAAAAGTAGTATGACAAGATACACTTATTTTATTCCTGCTTTTCTCCAAAAGTTTAAGATCTCAGTGATCAGTTGTCAGACAAAAAGTGTTAATTGCCCATTCCCATTGCTATTTTCAGCACTAAAGAAGTACAGATGTTTTTCAGTCATTGCTTTATTGTAATATGTGATGTAACACATAATATTAATGTAATGTAGTACTTCTGAATAAGTGCCTTGAAACTTTCACAGCTCTTTTAAATTCAGCTGTGATCTAGTGAAGAGGAAAAAATAAACGATTATAATATTCCTGTTTAGCAAAGTGAGACTTTGATGGACAACCAGAAGTATTCTAGTCAAAGCAGATTGTACTCAGGACTCTCATCTTCCTCCCATCTATTATTATAGATTCTTAAATTTTCAATAGAGCTGTGAGAGCCCCATTGGATAGGTGTTATCTTGTACCTTCCACTCTCTTGCCAGCTCTTTAAAAAGCCTCATCCACCAAAGCGAGTGAGGAGTCGTCTCAATGGGGACAATTCTGGGGTCTCTGTCCTGCCGGGGTCTACGAGTGACAAGATCTTTTTTCATCATTTAGACAACCTGCGGCCTTCCCTTGCGCCCGTCAAAGGTGAGTGGTGAGAAGGGGCAGAGCAGAGTTGTGATTGGAGTGAAGGGCCAATGAAAAGGTTATCTTTCCTTTAATTATGGAATATTCTTCCCTTCCCAGTGTCCTCCCTCGTAATGAGGCTAGCCTTCTTTCTGTGTAAGAGAATTGCACGTTCTGCTTATCTTTTGTGCCACAATGTGAAGTTGCTTTGCTTTGACTTTTTTTTTTCTTCTAATGCTCCAGTAAGGAAAGCCTCAAAGTGATGGATTCTTACAGTCTTGAGTTAGTATCCTTTGTACTGAAGAAGAGGGAAACAGATGTCATGAGCTGCAGGCCGTTTTGGAGTCTGGGGAGTTGTAAATGTTCATTTGAACTCAGTGTTTCATCTGTCAAATGAGGGGTTAGACTGCGTCTTCATGATCAGTGGAGCAGGATGTTGTGTGGGGTGTTATGGCGATTTCTATGATTTCTGTATTTTGTTTCACATTAACAAAGACTTAACCACTGTCTGATCATAATACAATTTAACTAGTAACATACTTACAGCTAGGTTCTTTTTCCTTTAAGAAATTGCGTTTTCAGGATCAGCTAGGTGGTGCAGTTGATAGAGCTCCAGCCTTGGAGTCAGGAGGACCTGAGTTCAAATCCAGCCTCAGACACTTGACACTTAATAGCTGTGTGACCCTGGGCAAGTCACTTAACCCCAATTGCCTCACCCCCTAAAGAAAAAAAAGAAAGAAAGAAATTGCATTTTCATCAGATTCTCAAGTTATTGTTACATACTTATATAAAAAAATATAAATCTCATATTAATATTAAATGAGCAGCTTGACTCATTAAGTTATGTTCGTTATCATTTCAGATTTACAGAGACAATGCTAGGTTCACATTGCTTGCTTCCAATATGGTCTTTTCTTGGCACTCCTGAATCTGTGCCAAATAATGGTACAAGAATGGGTCTGGCCTTCATAGTTCCTATGGCATGGATTGGTGAATGGCCCTCCCTGCATTCTGCTGCAAATAAGCTCACATTCTCTAAGCCACCCTGCAAAGAAGGAATTCCCCGAAGAGGTGGTACACTAGAAAGGAAGGTGGCAACCATAAAGAAAAAGGCTTGAGAGCCGTGCCGCAGAGCTGACAGCATGGAGATCTTAAATCCAGAGTCTCTGGCATCATACTGTTAGTTAAAATAGACTCTAAGGAAATTCAAAATTTCCTTTTTACTGAAGCAACATTGTGTTTTAATACTGGTATGTTTGCTACGTGTGTTTAATTTATATGATCACTTAAGACGTACTTCATAATTGGTCACTCCCTAGTGGGGTTCATATATGATTTTTCCCTGTTTCTGTTCTAATGTCAAACTGTGCTTTGCATAGAACTGAAAGAGCCCGTGGGACAAATTGTGTGCACAGATAAAGGTATTCTGGCTGTGGAGCAGAATAAAGTCCTCATTCCACCTGCCTGGAACAAAACTTTTGCTTGGGGCTATGCGGATCTCAGCTGCAGACTGGGAACCTACGAGTCAGACAAGGTTTGTTATCTCCCTTCAGAATTCCACTGGAGAAAGGGGTAAGGGGGAATAAGAAGGGAAGAAATGCTGCATTCTGAAATCTGACTTCCAGATACGTTGCGTATTTCCAAGAGCTTGGACATGTTTGCTTAGGCAATACTGAAAGGAAAGCTCATGTTTTCCTACTGTTGTTATAGTTCATTCCTCTGTTCTGTGAAATAAACATACATAACTAACTTCTCAATGAAGAATGAGGCGCATTATTCGTTAATGGCATACACATGAAGCAGAGATGAGGTTTTTGGTTGTGTAGCTACTAAAAATTTAAGTCCTGTCCTCAGTCCACCCAACACTGTGCTCCCACCCTTTGCCATCCCTCTCAAAAAAAAAAATGTTTGTGCATACTCAAGATTTTACTAGATCCCCTTTGGGAAATCTGATCAGTAGCTTAGTATCTACTCATGCCACAGCAGAAGTAAGCAGACTTGTCATCACGTTCGTTGGAATGGTACTCAGTATCAGACATTGATAATCAGATACTGTTTCTCTAGAAGGTATTTCCACGATAACTCCATTTGCCTTGGTTTGACTAAAAGAGATGATCATTATTCTTTGACCCTGGTGATTAAGGCAGTAGAAATATTGGTAGGCTGGGAATAAACGGGAAGGAAAGGGAGGAACGGAATCAGACTAAATGAAATCATAAAGGTCTTTTCCCACTCTAATCATAACTTTTTTTATTCTGTTTTATGGAATTTCCTTTATGCCAAAAGTCACATGATTCTCAAACTGGAATGGACCTTTGAGGTCTCACCTGACTACTAGCTATTTTCTCATTTTTATATGAGAAAACAGGCCTTGAAACCTGAAGTCATTTTACTGAGGTCACCAAAGTTTGTGACAGTCAAAACTAGCACCCTGGGCTTCCGATTCACAGCCCACATTCTGTCTACACACCCACACCAGTGGTGTCAACCTCAAATAGAAGCAATTCCACGCGGGCAACTCAAAACCACAAATCAGCATTAGCTGTGTTGCAAATAACTTTTAATTTATTTTGTTAAACATCTCCCAGTGACATTTTAGTCTGATTCTGGCTGCACTTGTCATGAGAGCTTGACACCTCTGGGCCACACCATGCTCCCATACCCAGTACTTATTTGGGGGAAAAAAATGTGTTTTAAGTCTACTTTCTAGGCATGAAAACCATACAGAATTTTTTCACCAAAATAAAGTTTGTATACCTACTTCTTTGCCATTTCTCTTAGACCTTTTTTCAGTATGAACAGGTCTAGTCCATACACAGTTCGACTGAGCTAAAAATGGGTGATACTTGAGTTTTCTAGATAAAGGTTGCCAATATTTCTAGTGGGGAATATGTTTCTGGGGGGCATTTCCCTTGGAAGTGAAAAGAGGGTGCCTCACAGACTGCTTTGTATAGGTAGGTATGCACCTTGTTCACGAGTACTTGTTTTAGCAAAGAAAAATGAGACCTGCTGCTGTCTGTATTTCATATGTGTTTTCTCTTGTAGGCAGTAACTGTTTATGAATGTCTGTCAGAGTGGGGACAGATTCTCTGTGCGATCTGCCCAAGCCCCAAGCTCGTCATCACGGGAGGAATAAGCACTGTTGTATGTGTGTGGGAAATGGGGACCTCCAAAGAAAAGGCCAAAATGCTCACGCTCAAACAGGTAACGGATGCTGGAGCCAGCAGGAATCATTGCCTCTGCCTGGAATAACTTCTATCAGCTCTTTTAAAAAACACTCACCTGCTGGCCTAATACAGATTTCGTTTATCTAGTATAACAATTTAGAGAGCTATATATTTGCTGAATTTTTGGTGATTAAATCATACTTCCCCTCAATTTACATCATATCTTATTTGATATTTGTGATGCATGCAAAACATTGTTCTGGGCACTGAGACCGATAAAAAGATGTGTGACTTGTAAGTCATATTCTTTGCCCTCAGGGAGTTTACAGTTTAGCTGGGAGGAGAAAACCTGTACTTGCAGCTAAAATACAAAATAAACTCAAACGTCTACCAGAGTTGCAAACAATATTGCAATGACTGCTGCCATTTTCCTCTCTGTACCCTTCTAGCCCCTCACCCCCTCCTCGGTACGTATCATGAAATACTTAACAGACTCCTCAGTGTGTAGAGGAAGCTACTGTTTAAGAAACCTCTTAAGGAATCAACCGGCAAGTGTTTGATGGTTTCCTAATGTGTGCTCAGCTCTGCTGTATTGTAATGACAGAATCCTTTTGTGATGTTATTTATTAACTTGTGTTAGCTGCGTGGTAAGTAGATTCAGGGTCATTTTAAATAGGCACACACCTCCCATGCTTTCCTAGTGCACATTTGAGCAGAAGACTAATCGTTTACATGGGTTGTAGGGTTACAAAGAACGTCACGCCATTTGATCCTCGGAACAGCCTTGTGGAATTGTTAGTGTAAAAGTTATTCCCATTTTATGTATGAGGAAACTGAGCTTATTTTATGTAACTGCTGTTTGAAAGATTAATACTTTCAGCACACCTGAATGTTCTTGGGATTCCCTTTAGCTCCAGGGAAGCCCAGAGTCTGCCTTTGAATTGCTGAGCTCTCCAGGGTCTTAGCCAGGAGATTCCAGGGTTACCCAGCTATTAGCAAGTAAGGGATTTAGTGCAGACTCCCCCCACGCTATTTTCAGATGACACTAAGTGACTATAACGTAGCTCACGTGTATGTGGCACTTCACATTTTCCAAAGTTTCAAATAGAACATTCAGTTCAGGGCATAGATTTCTGGAGTATTTTAATAGTGTCTGCTAAGTCAGAAATAAACATCAAACGACTCTTTCGTGTTTGCCAAACCCCAAATAAAGATCCTGTATGACTAGAATTTTAAAACATGAATATTTTGAGCAAACAGATTCTATAGTGTTTATCAAAATTAAAATATATATATTTTTTTTCTTCCAGACAAAAAAGCCCTTGTAATTCTGACTGAAAGGGGGCACTCAGTTCTAGAACTTTTTTTAGCATAAAGTCCCCCAGATTCAAATAACTGTTTGTAGAAAGGCTTTTAAAAACCCTAATGATCCTCCATCCCGAGAGAATGTCGGCTCTGAATCTCTTCTTTGCCAGTCTAGCTCTCTCTACTGGAGTTGCGTGTGAAAGAGTTCATGACATAAAGGAACAGTAAAAATGTAAAACCTTAATTCCTCTTGTGGTGGGGGCCACAAGTCCCTGGGTGAGAAATGGATGTGAAACCTAGTGCTCAGCCCTCAGAGGCCTTGCTCTCACGCTGACGACTGTGAAAAAGGGAGAGTGAAACTACTGAAGAGCAGAGGTCTAAGCAGAATTTGAGGATGGGGATCATTTTTTTCTGAGAAAGTTGGGGAAGGCTTCCTGGAGAAGGAGGGTCTTAAATGAAAGCAGTGACTTCAGCAGATGAAGATATAGATGGTGGTGGGGGCAGGGGAGGGAATCATGGGAAACAGCATGAAATAAGGTTGGAGAAGTAGGTGGAAGTCAGATGGTGGAGGGTCTTAAATGTTAATCATAAGCTCACATTTTATTTAGTAAATAATGGGTAGTCACTGAAAATTTTGTAGTGCAGTAGCATAACCCTGATTAGTAATCCTAATTACTTGAGTTGAACCAGATAAAAGGAGGCACAAAGTCTGAATTTCAAGAACCACTGCCCCAAACATGTGGATGCCTCTTCTGCTCTGCTTCTGGAGGGGTCTTTCCTTAGAATTCTGGTGTGACTTGGGGACTGCCATCATTTTACTGATTTCTGTGTGTTGATTGTCTTTCTTATAGGCATTGCTCGGCCACACAGATACTGTTACCTGTTCTACAGCCTCATTAGCCTATCATATAATCGTCAGCGGGTCACGTGATCGAACCTGCATCATCTGGGATTTGAACAAACTGTCATTTTTAACTCAACTGAGGGGTCACCGAGCTCCTGTTTCAGCTCTTTGTATCAATGAATTAACAGTGAGTAGCAAATCACCTCCCCATCATTAATGTTTAGGAAAATGAGCAATTGCGGTGAGAGTGTTTGCTTTATCTTAATTATACTAAGCTTTTTTTATTTTACAATAGGTCATTTTACAAAAAACAAACAGATTTTCCTCGATTTTTGTGATATTTGTAAAAGAGCATGAATGTGGGCAGCTAGGTGGCGCAGTAGATAGAGCACCGGCCCTGAGGTCAGGAGGACCTGAGTTCAAATCGGGCCTCAGACCAAACACTTGACACTTACTCGCTGTGTGACCCTGGGCAAGTCACTTACCCCCAATTGCCTTTAAAACAAACAAACAAACAAACAAACAAACAAACAAACAACAACATGAATGTTAAAGTATATGACCCAAGATACCTGTACTGGTAGCCATCTGTCCATTCAGTGTCACATATGTTTTTAGAAAAAGATTTTGTTTAAACAGAGGATATACAATATACTCATTTAATATCTAAGGAGTTTGATATTTTGTAAAGATGTTTTTATCCTTTAAGAGATCATAAAATTTGGAGGTTAGAAGGGACTCTAGAGAATTCCATGCTTACGTTATGTGCTTCTCACGTGAAGATTAAGCACCTGGCAGCTATAGAGAAGGAAATTCCAGTGTAGCATTCCCCACAAATGTTTCCAAAGATGGGTAGTAATTAGTGTGCATAACATATCTAATGAGCTATAAAAATAAAATGCAGCAACCCCAAAACCACCACCAGGGACCAACCAAGTCCTGAAACACAGAGCAGAACAGGGCCAGCATTTCTGTGTTTCTTGGCCTCTGTGAGTGAAATGCATCCTCAGGGAACCGAGAAACAGAGTATTGGGCATCGTGCTAATAGAAGGGTCACACAGTATGGTACGTAGGCCCAGTTCTGTAAATCTGTCCGCTGCGGTAACTTTTCCTACTCAGGTCATCAGGTGATTCCAACTACAACATTGAATGGCATTGCTATTCAAGTCTAGAGAGTCAGAGCACTTGTTAGAATGGTAATTCCACCTTTTTGCAGGATGGCGGATCAATAATGTCCAGCCAAATTGACTGGCTATTGCTGATTCAGGCAAGTGGCTTTCTAATGCTCACATCCAAAAATTGTATTTAATTTGAATAAATGAGACTGTACCTTTATTGGTAAGAGCACCTAAAGATACAATGATTAAAAAAAGAGTCCAAGCCATTTGCAAGTATCAGTGTAGGTTTACAAAAAGACTGGTTGCATTTATTCAGTCCTAGTAGTTTTGCATCTGCCACTGTCTTTTAATAAGTTATTGAGAAATGTCTATTTCTGTTCAGTTTTCTGAACTAAACGTGAAGACTGATTTACCACCATCTTATTACCAAGATAGCTCACATTTTTCTTTTGAATTATTTAGTCTAAGATGCAATCCTTTTGATGGCTGCATTTGTCTCTAACCCGCTGTCACTAAGATTGTCCTTCAGTCCTTTAGGAAAGTCTTCCCTGGTATGGAGTAGGGCAGGTTCTGCCCCCAGTAGAGCACAGAGCTGTGTCACTAGCTAATTCAGGATTTTTTTTTTTTTTTTTTTACTTCTGATGAGTTAGAATTCACTGAGAAAACATTCACGATTTGTAAAATGCTACGTGCTCTAGCTTGTGCTAAAGAAACAAATTCTGTTCCTTTAAAAATCTAAATTTGTCAAGACCAAAAGCAAACTGTGCAAAAATATTGGCTAAAACTGTTTTTTTTGGCTTTGTTTCTGTCCTTGATTTCTTAGTGAAAGAGTGCCATCAGGTATAGGAGGAACCCCATGCAGGATGGTAGAGAGGTGGCTAACATGGACAAGAAAATGAGACAGATGTATTCGGGGGAAGTCAGAAACAGTGGAGGAGCTGGGAAGCGGCCACAGGAAATGCTCCGTGGGTTGAGCTGAACATGCAGTTTGGCTTCCTCTTAGGCAGGCAGATTTTCACCGTTGTTTCTCTTCCTGAGCAGGGTCAGTCAAGGCTTCCTAAATGTTTGTGCTCATTTTCAGTTTTGGTTTGTTTGGAAGTGATTAAAAGCAGAAGGAGAGAGAGAACCTTGGTTAAAAGCTTGTCTCTTCCCGCCACGTGTGTTAGGCTTCCTGTTGTCTCTTGGTCCCCGCTTTGCTTTGGGCACCCTTCTTCAGAAGTTCTCAAGGGTCATCAGATCAGTTCCTCAGTTGATACAGGGGAGGGTGAAACCCAGGGTCAGCTTTGCCTGTGGGGTCAGTAGGGTCCTTCCCGCTCATTGCAGTAATCCAAGCCTTTGCCCAAATAGGACCATAGAAAGAGGGAACCAGAGGCTTCTTCCCCTACTTATTTTTAGACCCACTAGTGATGTAATCAATGAATAGTTTTTCCAGTTGAATGTAAGAAAGGGGAGCCTCAGGTTGGCAGATTTCTCCAAAGGAATTTCCATTACAGGTTTCCCTTTCCTCCATCGATCAATCACGAGTTTTAAAAATAATTCTTATATGTAAAATGTTCAAACTTACAAAAGAGAAATTTAGCAGTTCCATTTATTAAGAAAAATGGTTAAAAAAAAGAAAAGAGAAATGGTTGTAGGTAAACTAGATTTTCCCCCATCTTATTTGTACCTGAGAGTACTCAAATTTGTTCTTGTTTATAAATTAAGCAGTGCTGTTTTATAGCTTTTTGCCAGTTAGCAGGAAAAGACCTGCTTCTCCATCTTAGCTAATTATAAACAGTTTTTTGTACTCAAATATAACTTGCTGATATGCTTACTTAATAATAAGCTAGAAGAGCAATGGAAGCTTGTTTGGGGACTGTCCTTACTACTGAATCCAATATATTTTAAATTTAATCTAGGTCTCTGCTCTTTGTTTAAATCTTTGAAGCTAGAAGGAGAACATGCCCTAAATTATGAAATACCATGATATCTCAAATACTTAAAAAAAAAATAAAAAACAGTAATGAGCTCAGAGCTTGGAATTTTTTGAGAGATTCTAGGGATTAGATGTGCTTCTAAAACTAGCTTGTATCTATAGGAAGAAAAGTCATCAGATTGTCTTTTTGGGCCTGTCTTTTCAGGGGGACATAGTATCTTGTGCTGGCACATATATCCATGTTTGGAGTATTAATGGGAACCCTATCGTGAGTGTTAACACATTCACTGGCCGAAGTCAGCAGATAATGTGTTGCTGCATGTCAGAGATGAATGAATGGGACACCCAAAATGTCATTGTAACAGGACATTCAGATGGCGTGGTCCGGGTAAGTAAATGTATTGGGTACTGTGTTCAGCTCTGATGCTAAGAGCCTCTTCCCCTGGCCGGGTAGCAGCTAGCCCTTTCCTACCTTTCCAGTACTCTGATCCTGTGACACAGTTCTGTTTGCTGCTGCTCACACAACACCCTGTCTCTCAGCTCTGGGCATTTTCACTGGATGTTCCTCATGGCTGGAATTCTCTGTCTCATCATCTCTGTCTTTTGACTGCCTTCGAGTCCCAGCTACAATCCCACTTCTATAAGACAACTTTCTCCATCCCCCTTAATGCTAGTGACTTCCTTCTATACATCATCTCCAATTTATTCTGTAAAGATCTTATTCATACATAGTTGTTTGCATACTATCTTCCCCTTTAGAATGCGTGTTCCTTGAGCGGGGACTGTTTTTGCCTTTATTTGAATTTGAGCACTTATATCTGCCTGATAATAGTAGGTGCATAGTAAATACTTTTGTTGACCATCACATTGCTTTATACCAGACTTTGACCCTGAGAGCATAATGCTATGATAACAATTAACAGCCTGTCTCCATCAAACAATTATCTACACACATTCATTCCTTGACTTTTAAGTCCAGCAGTCAATGTTTTAGATATTCTGAGTTTAGTAGAAAAGGATTATACCTGCTTCTAACTAGAAATTATTAAACTTAAGAAGGATTTCAAGAGATGTTTTAGTCTGTATCTAGCCAGCTGTAAAAGAGATTTGGTTAGATCTTTGCAAAGAAAATATGCTCAAATATTTACTGTAAATGGACAGATATATTTAATGTGTAACCAGCAGCTGGCACTGTCAGGTAGGGTTTGGCTATGTGAAGGACACCAAGGGTTAGAAGTATCACTTTCTTTTTACCTTCCCCCTTCAGAATTTCAGCCAGGCCCAAAGCAGGGTCACTCTTCCCACCGCACACACCACCAGCAGCCCAGGGATGCTACCTTCCTTTGCTTCTTGCCTGTATTCTGCCCCTCACTCTGGAACCCCAAGCTTCGAGGAAAAGGATTCCATAGCCTGGGTGTCAGGAGTCCCAAGTCATGTGATTCATCTGTCTTTGCTATTTGTGAGCTTATGCAAGTACTAATGAAATCAAAACCATAAGATTCTCTCTCACTTGGCTCCACCTCCAGTGAGGGAAAAGCGTGTTTTTGACCAAGGTTCACACTTCTGTCTTCTTAGAGCTGTCTTCCAAGCTGTTCTCTGGCTTCTTCCATTGCAAATACCACTATATGTAATTGGTAGCCAAGAGTCACTGAGCGTCCATGAATCATTATTATGATCAGAGCTTATATGAGACAAATATAACGAATTAGAAACTATTAAAGAGATAGAGAAATCATATAGAAAATGCCTACCGGCTGCAGATATAGGAAGGAGAAGGAAAGCTAAATCTTCTCCACTCTTTAGCTGGTTTTCAAGAAGCAACAAAATTCAGAAGCATCAGTCACTTCCAGCCACATCCATCAGTTTTTGTTTTCTTTGGGTTTGGAGCAGTGACCATGGCCACTGGAGCCCGACCTGCAATGTTGCTCCTGCATTGTGCCAGGCACTGTGCTAATTATTATCCAGTATGTCATAATGTGTCAGTCGTTATTAATACCATTCAATTCGACAGACGTGAAGTGTAGGTCAAGACACATATTGGGGTTTTTAATAATAGCACTCGACCAGTCCTGCTTAGGAGCAAATGTGACTGGCAGGCATTAGTTTTCTACTCCAGCAGCCTAAACTGCTTTTCTTCCATTATAATCCAGAAGTATTTCCTGTCTTGTAGCTATCCCTGGAGAGATAGACATGAGGCTCTGTTACGTATTTTGGGAAGTGATGTTATTTCTCAAGACTCTCTATGATAGACAACCAATGACACATAAATTGTTTGGTGAATTAGTTTTTTATCGTCCTTTACATTTCAAAATCAGTTTTGGAGGATGGAGTTTTTACAAGTTCCTGAAACACCAGCTCCTGAGCCCGCCGAAGACCTGGAAATGCAAGAAGACTGTCCAGAAGCACAAATAGGTATCTATTTCTTTCCAGACCTTTTTTCAATGAGCTTCATTTATTCAACACAAAAACAAAAACAAAACTAGGTATAGCATTGTCTACTCTGTTCCCACCTCTCTCAGAAACAGGCCCACTGCATTGCCCCTGGTGGTGTTAGGGTATCCTGAGTAGTTTGTGTGTCTCTTTTCTCTACTGTCACCGCCTTCCTTCCCTCCACATTGTTAGGGACCAGCAACTAACACACCAGCGCCATGCAGCCACTAAATGCAAAGTAGCTTTTACAAGGGGATATCGACTTCAAACATATAGCAAAAAAAAAACAAAACATGCAGACATTTCCTGCAGTATCTTAGGGGCATATTCTCCTACATATCACCTTGGTCTCTGGTGGGGCAAATTCAAGATTTAACTTAGTTCCTATTATGAGTCCCATCTAATTGGATCCCCAGTCTCTCCAAAACACGTCCCTCATACGTGCTTACTATTCTTTTGGAATGTGGTATCTTGGGGAGACATCTGAAGCGCTTCAAACATGCACCAGACCTTCCCCAGCCCCCAATTATATCAGCATAAATTTAAATCACATGGCCAAATTTCATAGCTTTAGTTGGGCTAGACCAGGAGTGCGGAACCTGCAGCCTCGAGGCCACATGTGGCCCTCTGTGTCCTCAAGTGCAGCCCTTTGACTGAATCCAAACTTCACAAAACAAATCCCCTTAATAAAAGAATTTGTTCCATAACTCAAGGCCGCAGGTTCCCCACCTCTGGCTAGGCTTTACTAATTTTTGAGAGAATTGCACACAACGTACGGTATTTCTGATCAGATCAGAACTCTCATTTCAGTTCACTACCCAGCAGCAGACATACCAAAATACCTGGTGTGAGACTGCCATTACCTTCATCCCTAGATTATAATTGCTGTCTCCTCAGGGTACGGAAGAACATGCACCCCCTGTGTTCTTAAAAAGGACAGAAAAAATTTTTGGACAGAGCTAGCCCGTCAGAGACCCATGCTGAAAGCTTTACCTCTAGGCTTCAGATCCAGTAATTTGACTCACCATTTATAAAGCACCTTAAAATTACTCTTCATATATTGAAAGCAAGTTTTTTTTCCGTAATATAGAAATACAGTACAGTAATTTCAGTCAGCTCTTATTAGCTCTGAGTAGCCTGTTGGCTCTTTGATTTGGAAGTCCAAGAGAAGCCCTCTCCACAAAACATTTACCATCAAACGTTAGTTGAAATTGATCTTCAAATTCTCTCAGTGAAGGAATTTGTCAACATTGACTGAGTGCTCACTGCATACAAAGCACCACCTCAGGCTGTGGGTGAGTTAAGGAAGGAAGGTGAGCTTCCCCTTTTCAGGTGAACACTCCATTTGTGTATAACCTTGACTGGCACCAATAAGTAACTCTCTACATCACCAACTATGGTTAGAAGGAAAAGACACCTGATGATCTAAGAAATGGAAAAAGATTGTGGTCTGAAGCTCATTCTTCCAAAGTAGGAGAATGAGTGTAGATAGTGCAGCTCAAGCACCCTCTTCACCATGAAGCCTTTCCTGCTTTGTATTCTTGAATAAATACTTTGTATTTATTCTGCACATACTTATATATGTGCTGTTGTCTCTCCTGTTAAAATGTAAGATCTCTTCAAGTGGGATTGTTTCATTCAGTGTGCTCATATCCCCTCAGCTAGCAAAGTGCCTTGCAGTATAGTGGTACTTACTAAGTGCTCATTGATTGATAGGTACAAGTGCTCATTGATTGATAGGTACTTGGGTGAAGTAGAAAGCTAAGTAAGGATGGGGGAGAGGATATGATTCCAAAGGGGGAGACTTTAAAGATCATGATCGTGAGTAGTGACGGAAAAACAAAATGCAGTCCCAGCAATCATTCAGAAAGATGACAAAGATCAGAGCTTTTTTATAAAGACCAGAAAGTTCTGGAAACAAACGTGCCTGTTTTAGAGACAGTCCCTCTTTTCATCTTGCCATTGTGTAATGCAGGGCAGGAAGGCCAAGACGAGGACAGCAGTGACTCAGAAGCTGAGGAGCAGAGCGTCGTCCAAGACCCCAAAGAGCCTCCCAGTCAGCCAGGCAGTGTAAGCCACCGGCCAAGAGCGCCATCTTGTCGAGCGGCAGCAGCGTGGTCGGCTGACAGTGGCTCGGATGACTCCAGGCGCTGGTCAGACCAGCTCAGTTTGGATGAGAAAGACGGCTTCATTTTTGTAAACTATTCGGAAGGACAGACCAGAGTCCATCTTCAGGGTCCTCTTAACCACCCCCACCCGTATCCTGTTGATGTGCGGCATTATAACAACCTTAAACCTGGTAAATGAAACCTGAAATGTGGGACGGGATGATGGAAGGACCGTAGCCTGGCTGGGGCTGAGGGAAGGGTGGCGAGGAGGAGGGGGGCAGGTGGATTGGGGTGAGGCAAGAGAGGCTGCCTGTATTCACACGGTTATTTGCTATAGGACCTCAGGGACACAAGGGATAAAGGTCATGCCCAAGGGTGGTGTTATATCATGAGGAGTCTGAAGCAAGCTTGTGGGCCCAATATTTGAAGAAAAACATTCTAAAATGTGGAATGTTCCTGTATTCTTTGTTTGATGACAAAGAGGAAATCTTCTCTTTGGGAGAAATCATCTATGTTTTCTTGTCTTGAAAACTTCAGTTTCTTAATCAAGTTTGACCTTAGTGACTCCAGCTGATGATAAAGCTTGGGATCTCCCCTCAAGAGCATTGGCTTTCACGAGTCCAGCAGTGGCCGTGGGATGAGAGCGCTCCTTAGAGATGCCCTCTCTAAGCACAGCTTTTAACCTTCACCATCGGAAGCCATCTGGCATAGTAGAGACAGTCCCTTGGAATCAGAAGGCCTTGATTCAGGGCCAGTCTCTGTCCCTGGGAGAAGCTGGGGAGCCTTAAGCAGTTATTTGATTTTTTGGGGCCTCAGTTTCCTCATCCAAGAGATGACAAGGCTGCATTCGGTGGCTTCTGACGTCCTTTCTAGCTCTGAATCTATGTATGGGATTAAGCCCTTGGCCAAAGGGATATGCTCTGACTAGCTAGAAAAGCGGCTTGGAATCTCACCCAGGGACCTTGGCTTTTGTATTACATGATGGAGGGGTGGTAGCAAGTCTTGATTTCCCTCGCTCCAAATTTAACATCCTCTGATTTTCCTCTCCAGGATACAGGTGGGAGCGGCAGCTGGTGTTCAGGAGCAAATTAACTATGCACACGGCGTTTGATCGGAAAGACAACGCTCACCCAGCCGAGATCACCGCCCTGGGCATCTCCAAGTGAGTCAAAGATGTCCCTGATCAGCTTTCCAGAATGAGGTAGACCCTTTGACCAGTGACAGTCATCAGTCAGCCAAGTCTTGTAGGAAAGAAAGATTTAAATGATCTTACAGCACTGTGTTACGTAGGCCAAGTTGAGCTAAAGAAGGAGAAGAAAAACCCCATGCGTTGTTATTTTAATTAAAACCATAGGGACTTTCTGCTTTCAGTGTTCTCTGAGGGACCTTAGGTCTGATGTGATCATGGATGTACAGCTGCATCTCTCCTGGTCCCGCCCTACATAGAAATGCATTGTCTCTCACTCCAGACTCGTCCCCCACTGAACAGCTGGCTTATTTATGTGACGTTTGGCTGGGAGGACACGCAGCCGCCAGCCGCACTAGCTGTGATGAAGGGTTTTTGTGGGGTCCCAAGTAATGAGATGGTTTTTCTTCCAGGGATCACAGCAGGATCCTCGTTGGTGACAGTCGAGGCCGAGTTTTCAGCTGGTCTGTGAGCGACCAGCCGGGCCGCTCTGCTGCTGACCATTGGGTGAAAGATGAAGGAGGAGACAGCTGCTCAGGCTGCTCGGTTCGATTCTCCCTCACAGAAAGGAGACACCACTGCAGGAGCTGTGGTCAGCTCTTCTGCCAGAAGTACGACGGCCTGCGTGGGCCTCTCCTGGTCACGGGGCCGGGCTCAGGGATACAGGGATGGTTCCTGCTCTCAAGGGGCTCCTGCCGTCCTGGCGAGAGACCACACATGCAGGAATAAGTGTAGACAAAATAGAAGATGATTTTGGGGGGAGGGTTAGGAAGCATTTTATGTAGAATTGGGTGTGTGACCTGAGCTTTGAAAGAAACAAAGACGTCTAAGAGGTGAGGTGGGGGTAGGGGATGCCTCCCTGCCTTACGGAATGGCCAGTGCAAAAACCGGTGGGAGAGACGTTTCCTATACGAGAAACAAGCAGGACATGCAGTGTGGCCCCCAGCCCTACCTTCCCTCTTACTGTAGAGGATGGCACCATCCTCCCAGCCCTCGGCTCATAGCCAAAGAGGCATCTTGGATTCCTCGTGATCTCTCCACTCCATATCCAAGCCTGTGGATTTCACTTTTGCAGCATCTCCCAAATATACCCCCTTTTCTCTGACACAGACCCCCTGTGGTGCAGGCCCATAGCTGCTTGGAGGTTCTTCCTCTGTCCGGTCTCTCTCTAATCTAGGCCGTCCTCCCTTCAGCGACTAATGGGATTTTCCTAAAGCACAACCCTGACCATGTCACACCTCTACTCAATCTCCAGTGGCTCCCGGTTGCCTCCAGGATCAAATACAAAATGCTGTATTGCATTCAAAGGCCATCCTAACCTAGCCCCATCCTGCCTTTCCAAGTCTTCTTGTTTTGTTTTGTTTTTTGAGGCAATCAGGATTAAGTGACTTGACCAGGATCACACAGCTAGTAAGTGACTGAGGCCAGATTTGAACTCAGGTCCTTCTGACTCCAGGGCTGGTGTGCTATCCACTGTGCCACCTAGCGGAGTCTTTCTGAGTCTCAGACCCTTTCTGAGTCTTCTTACACCTTATTCCCTGACACAATACTCTTTGATCTAGCGACCCTGGCCTCCCAGCTGTTCCATAAACAGGACACCCTCAGCTCCAGACATTCCTCTGGTTGGCCCCTACACCTGGAATGATCATCCTCATCTTCAGCTACCAACTTCCTTGGCTTCCTTTAAGTCCCAACTAAAATCCCACTTTCTACAGGAAGTTCCCCCCAATTCCTCTTACTTCCAGTGTCTTCCCTCTTTAAATTATTTCCTGTTTATCCTGTAATAGCTTGCCTTGTCTGTATTTGTTTGCTTGCCATCTTTCCCATTAGACTGTGAGTTTCTCGTGGGCAGGGCTTTTGCCATTCTTTGTATCCCCAGCACTCAGCACAGTGCCTGGCACACAGTAGGCACTTAATAGATGCCTACTGATGGCTCACTGATTGACTGTAGACTACATGAGTAACATAAGTCTGGAGAGGTAGGTTGAGGGCAGACTGTGAAGCACTTTAAATACTAAAAAGAGAAGATTCTGTTTTATCATAGAAGCAATAGGGAGACCACTGGTATTTATTAAGTAGGGGAGTGACATGGTTAGAGCTGTGCTTTAGGAAAAGTCACTTTGGGAGATGGATCCAAGATGGTAGAGGAGCCAGAAGGACAGTGTGTGCCACCCCACCCCCAGACTCCTCTAAACAGATCTAGAAAATTTACTAGACTGGATCTTAATCACAGCAAATCATTTTTCCAGCCCAAGTTGGCATAGGGAGACTGACAGAGAGGTCTATGGACGCAGTGGGCAAGGTTTGGTGAGGAGTATGTGGTTGCAGCGAGAAGTTATGCCCCAAGGCAAAAGGAGGTTCTAGATTCAGCACTGAAGGACCTGATCTTGTGCAGGTGCAAACATAGGCACCCACCAGCAATGCTGCTGCTCACTGCTCATGTCTAATTCGTGAATCCAGGGCTGAAGGAGGATGACACCTGTGCCCAGGAATAGTAGTCTAGAGTGCGGAGTGGTCACGGGCCCTTGGACTGTGTACCAAGCAAGGAGCAGGTTCAGAAGCAAGCAGCAGCTGCAAGGTTCAGACCCCCCCAAGAATGGAGCAGGATCTGTCCCAGCTTCTAGCCCAGGCTGAAACTTACAAAGAAATAACCAGGAATCCCAGACCGAGGGAAGCCTACCATTCTGTCACTGAACCAGCAAAGCCTTCCAGCTGTCTGACAGTGACTGAGTCCAGAAGCGATCTACAGTTCAGGCCTAAACCCAGGCCAGTAACTTGAAGAGCTTGGACTCAAGTTAGGGGTAGGGAGGTAGGGGGAATGATCAGATATTGCCTTGGATCAGAACACTTCAGGAACACCGAAGATTACAGCTCCCCAGCCTAAGCAGTCCCTGAAATACTGGAAGAGTACAACACTCAACACCCCAAGAAAGCAGTAGCAGAGCCAGCCCAGATCTTTCCTCCATCATTGTGCAGAGCCTGTCCCTAATATGGCAGAGTTAGAAAGTGGGCTGGAAGAATGAGCAAATGAAAAAGGATCCAGCCATAAAAACCTATTATGGCAACAGGGATGCTCAAGATACAAACCCAGAAAAAGAGAAAGACTCCAAAACATCAACAAGCAAAGTCTCAAAGAAAACACTGCTTGGGTGCAAATTCAGCTAGAATTCCTGGAAGAGGTGAAGCAAGAGTTAAAAATATTTTTATAAATTAAATGAGTGCCAGAGGGGGGAAAATGGGAAAGAAACGAGAGCTATAGAAGGAAGAATTGGGAAGAGAATTAACAGCTTGACACAAGAGGTACAAAACTTTGCCCAGGTATCAAACTCTCTGAAAATTAAAATAGGACAAATAAAAGTCAATGACTCCATGAGACAACAAGAAAAATTAAAATCAAAACGCTGGGAGGGAAAATAGAAGAAAATGCAAGATATTTCTTAGTCAAAACAACTAACTTGGAAAACAGGTCAAAGAGAGATAATCTAAGAATTATTGGACTGCCTAAAAGACATGACCAAAATCATAAAGGAAAAATACTCAGAACCAGAGAGCAAAGTAGAAATGGAATCAATTGGTCATCCATTGAAAAAAACCCTCAAAATGAAAACTCCCCAAATCCAGAACTTCCAGGTAAAGAAAAACATCCAGAGAGAAAGAATTCAAGAGCCAAGGAGCCACAGCCAGGATGCCTTACAATTTAGCAGCCACCACAATAAAGAACAGAGAGCTTGGAATGTGATGTTGCAGAAGAGAAAGGATATAGGCTCATAGCCAAGAATAACTTACCCAGCAAAACAAAGTGTCATCCTGTTGGTTGAAAGGCCAGCAGGAGGAATGGACCTTTAAGGAAATAAAGAACTTCTAGGTCTTCCTGATGAAAAGACCAGAGCTGCATAGAAACTTCAGAAGGCAAATCCAAGAGTTAGAGAAGGAACAAACAGGTAAAGATGAATGAACAGTTATGAGGGACAAGGGTCAACTGCTTTTATGCTCACGTGGGGAGATGGTACATGTGTCTCCTCTGAAGCCTGTCATCACCAGAGGGAGTCTAATGAGACAGAAGGCCTGAGAGTGGTTCTGTTATGTCTTGATGACCTTAAGAATGGAGAGGCAGAAGAATACACTAGTGGGGGAGAGTGGAAGAGGGTCTTAAGGGAAAGGAAAGTTAGGGAGAATCATCTCATTTAATCAAGGTGCACAAGTAGAGGCCATACAAATATGCAACCACGTATCATAGGTGAGACAGTTTGCATTCTTCATCTGCTTGACTTTCTTGCTAGATTGACATTTGAGTGGCTGCAGCTCTCATTGAATTAATGAATGAAAACTCATTTATGAAGTACTTATAACATGCAAAGCACTGAACCAAAACTGAAGATACAAAGGGAAAAGCAAGACAGACCCTGCTCTTGAGGAAGTCCTGTCCTAATCAGGACAGATAACCTCCAGGAGGTTTCAGTCACAAGTTGGATAAAAAGGCCCCAGGGGCTTTAGTGTACAGTAGCAAGCCAGTGATGGTGGATCTTCTGCACTCTCCTTCTCTTGATAAAAGCGCTTCTGTTTCTGACGATGCCAACTTTGATGAGGAAAATGGTCTTTTCTGGATTTCTAGCAGCGGTGGTGGCTACAGCACCTGCAGAGGCAGTTAGCTGCCAGGTTGCTCAGTCTCCAGGTTCCACAACAGTTCCTTTCCATTGTGATTGTCATGGGGCCCAGGCTGGAGTCAGATCCTGGATGACACTGCCATTGCCAGGGCTCTCAGATTTAGTGCCCATCATTAGTGTTGGTACAAGTGGCAGACCCTTCCCCATCAGATCCTGGGTGATGTTGCCATTGCCAGGGCTCTCGGATTTAGTGCCCATCATTAGTGTTGGTACAAGTGGCAGACCCCTCCCCACAGGGACAGCAGCTATTGGTGGCTGTGATTCCTGTGGTGTTGGATGTAGACTAGTCTGGCATTTTTCATGACAGAAAATAAAAAAGATCTTGTGCTTGGTGCTTGGTGCTTTTACATCGCCCTGGCCCAGAAGCACAGCCCTCGATCACCGTAGCTTTGGGGCCTTGTTCATCTCAGGTTCCATGCCATTCCACCTCTGGGGTATGTGACAGTGGAATTGTTCACAAAAGTCCCTTAGGAAAGGGAAAGATTTGATATTTGAGGCAGAGCAAACCCATCATGTCCATAGTTTGTCATTGTTTATAAGACAATTTATTAGCTTTAGGGTTTTTTATATATATAAAAATCAAAAGGTTTTTTGTTTGTTTTTTTTAACCTGGGGGCAGGGGTACAAAAGGAGGGAGAGAAAACCAGAGCTTATAAACTGAAAAAATAGAATTGAAAAAAAAATTCCAGTTGATGAGGTAACACTGATTAGAGATCACCTGTCATCTGTGTACTCTGACCCTGCTGAGGTTGGTCTAGATGTTCCTACTAGCTAGTCCTTTATTGGGACTGTGGGAAATGTTAGGCAGGAGAGCTGTCTTCGCTGCTCCCAGCTACGTCAGCTGATTGGCCTTCAGAGGCACTGGACAAAATACAACTTTGGATGGTTGTGCCCAAGGAAACAAACTGTGGACAGTTTTAAGTACTGTTGAATTAGAGGTATTTATATTAATTTAGCATTTATATGGATGGCAGCAAAAAGCCGGCTTCAAAAATCAGTAATTGATCATTGGTGTGAGAAAGACTCCGGGTTACCTAGAGAAGGAAGCGAGGTCTTTCAAAACCCAGGAAGTTACCGGCAGCCCTGCCTGGGACCCCACTGCAGCTCCTAAGTAGGCTCTAGAAACACTCTTGAAAGTTCTTCTGAAAATAGCATCAGTGCCTTCTTGTGATCTAGTTACTTACTGGCACTTCAGACGTTCATTTATCTTCCCTTTTTTTTAAGGAAGTGGTTAGGTGACACTTCACTTATCACCTGTGTGAGTTTACCTGAGTTCTTTAACCTCACCTGTAAAATGAGCCATTGGCCTGTGTGCCCTCCAAGGTTCCTTCCAGCTCTCAGGCTGTCATCTTCTGTCTTCCCTTCCCCAATCAAATATGTGTCTAGTCATGATTTTTCATTATTTTACCGTGCACAAGTAATTTAAATGATTTTGTTTTTAAAATCAGGCACCTATCATAAATTAAACTCTGATGTTCTTCCTTTTTCAAACTGGGCCCTAGGATTACTGCATACTTTGTATTTGGTCTTTAAATGAATATATTTGAGCCAGGCAACAAAGGATGAGCTGAGAAGAGGATATCCCGCTCACTGCTTTTCTTTCTCCCCCTTTTCTTCAGGTGCAGCCGATTTCAGTCTGAAATCAAACGTTTGAAAATCTCATCTCCTGTGCGTGTTTGTCAGAACTGTTATTACAACCTACAGCATGAGCGGTGCCCAGAAGATGGGCCCAAAAACTGCTGAGGCTTCAACGGGCCCACGGGAAACAAAGGTGCGCGGACCCCTTGCTCAGCCCCAACCCTTGCTTGGAATGTCTTGGGCAGTGAGCTTGGAGAGCTTTGAAACCGTCTCTGTTTACACGTCTCTTCATACTGTGTGTTGGAAGTGCTGAGTCTAAGCAGGACCAGTGAGTTAAAGGGGCGCAGGAGATGGTAACGGAGGTCGGCCCTTTTGGGGGGAGCAACTCCAGGAGGCTGTGAGGTGGCCCAGCAGTAGACTTTTGTCAGTCCCCAGTTCTCCCTGTTAAGAGTGGCTGTGGAAAAGGAAGAAAATCCTGCCTCACCTAACCATCTTTTCTTGTATCTTGTTTTTGTAGAACTGCTCAACCTCGTTTTGAAAAACAAGAAAAGGCTTTTTAGAAGATAGTTGTAAATCTGCCTTCTTTGCAAGCAACTGTGTATATTGTAAATACCTATAATGGCCTTTTTATCTAAATACAAACTTAATTAACAGCCTGTAACATGGGACTTCAGACTAAACCACTAATTTAATGAACTACTTAAGAGTTTATCCGGCATCTCTCATCTATCAACTTAATTATGAATATGCTTAAAAAAAATCCTCCTCCAAGGCATTATCTATGGGCTTTTTTCTCCTTTCAGATTCTACCTATGCATGTGCGTCTTTTCTTTCAGTTGCCCACGGCATCGTCACTTAAACTAGGCTAGTCACCAAAATAATTTGGCCCTTCTTTGTAAGCAGACAGTGTGGGAGAAGATTATTCTAGTTGTAAGATAACCAGGAATTATCACAATTTTCTTGACATTTTATACCTGGCTACTTACCACTTCATTGTTGTTCATATGTAATAAGGTCTCTTTTATACATATATTGGGGCTGCTGTTTGGGTCATAGTGTAACTTCTTAGCATTTAATAATCAATCCGCTGATTCATGCAGTGCAGGAACCAGCCCAGACCTCCTTAAACCAATGGAAATATGCTTGCATGTAACTCAGAGCTAGTTTCTCTTGCATAAAGTATAAGCACGCGTCTTTGGTGACTGGCTTATTTAAAAAAAAAAAAAAACTGTACAGAATTAAAATATAACCCTTGATGTGTAACTGGATAGCGTCAGGACTACTTGAGGTCACCTCTACCATTCAATACCATCTACCTGAAAACAGTACAATTTATACTATATCAATGTCTATTTTTTGTTTTACTATGAATATAATTGCAATATTTTTAATATTCAGTTGTTTAATTTTGCACCGTAAGTAGAACAGAGTAAATCCACCTATAGGGATTAAAGCTGGTGAAGGGCCTACAGGTAGATAATAGGAAAGAGGCTTTGGTACTGGTATTTTTTTTAATGTGTGTTGAGAGAGAAAGAGAGAGAGTAATCTAGATTTTAACATTTTTCAAACACATAGTAATTCTAAAAAGGCCTGTTATTTTTTAAATATAGAAAAGTTAATGGCCTTAAAATAAGAAAGAAGGGCCTTCGTAAGGAGCATGTGTTAATGCGTTACACAAAAGCCAGTTCTGAATTAAATTCACAACCCTTCATCTTGTAGCCCTGGTGATGGACATTCATCCACTTCAATGCACATGCATTAAATATTACATATTACACACTCATTGGTGTGTAATTCTGTTCTTGTTGTACCCAGTGGACTAGAGCCAAGTAAGTAAAGGACAGATTTGTTCTTCCTCCTGGTGTCAAGGCACTGGAGTACCTTACGCTTAGGGAAAATTGAATCTTTGTTTACCTGTGTTTGAATCTACAATCCAATTATGGCCTCATATTCAATAAAACTTATTAAAGCATTTGCATATTTAAGAGAAATTTTCCGGTACTTTCTTGTTTTTATAAAAGGATTAATGGCATTGATGATTTCTCCCTAAAAGAAGTTGTCCCCTGACTCCACAGAGAAATTGTATCATGTTACTGTGCCCTTTTTTCAGAAGCAGCCTCTTCCCCCTAACTTCCTCATACCAGGTTAATAAACCCGGTATATAATAAACCAGGTAATAACCCCAAACCAGATGGCAGAGGTGTTTCGTCAAGGCTTGAATAGATGCGTCGGTGTGCTTAGTTACTCAGGACTGACTCCTCTGTAACGTAAATGTCGATGGGATGAACGCTTTGATACTTGCCACCTCCGTGAGCAAAAAGTGACTCCCCAACCCCACCTGGTCGCGTTTCCTCTGGCAGCTGGTGCTGTGGGCAACTGTTTTGTTCAAAGGAGTTTTTTTTTGTTCTTGCTTCTGACGCAAAGACACAAAACAGCTGGAGCAGCAAGATCCAACCCATTTTCTTGGATCGATTTCTGTTTTCCGGGTCCACGTGTTGAACATAACCCCACTCACAGTGTACAGCCATCTTTCCAAGTGGTCTCTGTTCTCTGCAAGTACCTCACATGCCTTCTTTCGCCTTGTTCTTGGGAGCGTCAGGATTCATGTTGTCCTTAGCCATCCGTGTGTAGTATGCAGGTGTAATGTCGTGCTTCTGAAAAGGTGAGCCGCCCACAGTGACCATCCACCTGGACATGAGCAAAACACTTTAGAGAAATTATTTTGCACTTTCTTATGTACAAAGTTGGTAGAAACTTATTTTTTGCTTTATATCATTTAAAGAACTTTTGTTTTGGTAATTGAACTGTGTATAAAATATTTATGCAGTTAAAACTTTTTAGAAAGTATTTTTAATTTCAGCAAGTGTGTTTACTTGTTGCATGACTATTAACACAGCTGACTTTTTGTGTCAGTGCAATGTATATTTTTTGTCCAGTTATTAACTTGTTAGCCCTAGTAAACAACCATTGATTTGTACAGCAACAGAACTCAATTGAAGATAACTAGCTGAGACTGGATTGTGGAATTTTGTACTATATTGCAGAATCCAATATCTGTTTTTTGGTGGTTATGTAAAAGGCCTGAAGAATTACTATGTAGTGTGCAATCTGTGATATCTGAATGTTCATTGTCTATCTGTCTGATGCAAAAAGGTAGATTAATACAATTACAATACATGATTAAATGCAATAGTTCAGGTACCTAAGTATTTTTTTTCCATTTCAAATAAATACCTGCTATTTACCACCAAAAAGTTGTTTTAAGCTGTTTTATTTTTTTTTTTTAAAGCAGAGTCCAATAAAAACTTCCTGAACTTTTGTATAACTGGTTTAAAGGTTTATTTTTTCTGGAAGCAGAGTGTCGAGGCTAGCGAACCAGCCTTGGAAGCCAGGGAGATATGGCCTATACATTCAGGCGAGGGCCCCTGGGCCAGTGGACCCATCGTTCCGTCGTCCCATCTCTTATCTTCTCAGCGTTGTGGGCAACTCTTGGAGACCGTAAATTACAGGTTTAAAAATGATGACTTGCATTATTAGAAAAGGTTCCCCCACTTGGGAGTTCACTGTGTCAGTGTGATCACATGTCCAGCCTCTGTCCTCTCTTCAATAAAACTCAGAGACCTCAGGCATAGATTTATTAGAGCTAGAAATGAGTGACAATTCAACTCGCCGTTGCACATAGGTTAGAATTGTGGTACTCCACTCTGCCCCCGTACTGTATTATATCAAAATTTACCAAAATGTAAAGATCATGTTTTAATTATTAAAACTGAATTTTGAGAAAGGGTGTTACAAGTCAATAATTAATTTATGCCCTGTAAACACCAAAATGAGAAACTCTGGGTGTCTTAAGAATTCCAAATTTGTTAATAAACGTATCTTTCACCTCAACCACATCCCTTTTCAAGACGACTCCTTTGAGGAATAACAAAAAAAACTTAACTAGAAATGTTTGTGCCTGAAGCAAGCAGCTCTCAGTGTGTATGGGGGGGGGTGGTGTAGAACAAGAGGAGGCTGCCCCTGCCTCCCGCCCAGGGAGAGGAAGGATGATACTGGGTTGCTTCCTATTCTAAATAATTATTCTAGATAAGTAGAAGGTGCTGAAGTCAGAGTTTTGCTTTTTGCATATTTGGCATCTCAGAAACCTGTTCAACCGGGAGTAGGGAGTCAGGTTGTAATAGAAAACAGATGCTTTTAAGGGGTCGGGCATTGAAAAAAGAGAACTTGAATTTCCCCTCACCCCCATCACCCCCCCCAAAAAAAAGAAAGAAAGAAAGAAAAAACCCTTCTCAGTATCCTAACAGTGTAAGAGCTGTAGAGGCATACAGGACAGAGAAGCTCCTCTGTAGGACATAACTCTGCCGCAAGGCCTGCTGCATCTTTTTCTGACGCTCCAGGGTCCTTACACAGTGCCTGGCAGCTAGTAGAATCTCAATAAAATCTCGTGGGTTGGCTGATTCAACCTCAGGGCTCATTTTACAGAGGAGGAAACTGAGGCATCCTGCTCAGCGTCCTAGAGGAAACTCACACTGAGGAGGCAAACCCGGTTTAGATGGTTAGAGCTGGGGGTGAGTGTTTTAGATGTAGTAGGAACCCCACCTTGTGTAGGCTGGGGTGGCTTCACTACGCGGAGCCAAGGAGGAACTCCTGGGGACTTGGGCAGGGGGGTTATGAAAAGCCCGTCCTGCGGATGGGCCGTCATTCCCTTTTCTGACTGAGCACCTCCAATGTCATTACTGTTTCTGAAGGGAAGTAAGTGGGGAAGGGGGATGGCAGAGGTTGCGTTTTATTTTCCTAATTAGGAATAGTACCCTTAAACTTACTCTTAAGTTTTTATTTCATTTTATTGTACAAGAGTATTGCATTGTATTCCATTGCTGAACCTGAACTAGGCCTGGCCCAGAATAGCTGCTGTCAGTTGAAATAAGTAGGTTACAATGACATCTTGTTAATTTAATTGTTGAAGTGGGGGGAAGGGTGATGCAGAAAGAAGAAAACCTTGGATGATTGGATTCTAGATACAGGGCCCTGGTGTCCCGTGACTGCATATATGTCAAGCACATATGGGGAGCCCTCAGTAGGAAGAGGAGGGGCTCCTTTGACCCCATAGGAATTGCCTGATGGGTGTTTAATTATTAAATTATTATTATTATTATAAATTATTATAATATATAATTATAAAGTATTATTATAAATAATAATTATTATTAATCATTAAAGGGGTCATTCCAGGCATTCTCCAGCCACCCACACTCCTCAACAATCTCGTGCCTGAACCTGCCCAGGAGGGCCTCCTGGCTTCACACAGCAGACAGGCAGGCAGTTGGCTCACACCCCAAGTACTGTTCAGCCACCCAAACTCCATTGCCTAGCTCCATTCTCACCCCTTTCTAGGCTGTACTTGGAACTCTCCCTCCTCATCTCTGCCTCCTGGCTTTCCTGGCTTCCTTCCAGTTTCATCCAAAGTCCCACCTTCTGCAGGAAGCCTTTCCAAATCACACTTGATACCAGTGCCTTCCAAGCTCTGTTGTTATCTCTAATTTATCCCGTACACATCTTGTTTCCACATAGTTATTGCACTGTTGTTTCCATTACACGGTACCCTTGAGAACTAGAGCTGTCTTTTGCCTTTTTGTGTACCCTGGGCACTTAGCACAATTCCTTGCACATAGTAGATTACGTGCTAGTTGACTCACTGATGTTTTAGGAAAACTGAATTGGGAGAAATAAAAAATAAATTTTCTTTGCGTATTCAGCAATTAGAGATATGAGTGTATTTTTGTTTTGTAAGGATCAGTCCTTGACCCTTAAAAAGGCAGAAGGGCAATTAACAGGCTTAGAGACAGTTAAAGTGAAAAGGTCCAAGGTGATGGGGTGTTAATGGTAGGCACCAAAGCTGAAGACCACCTGCATTAGTACTATAAAGGAAGATAATGAGAGCAAGAGTGAATATGAGAATTGATCATTATCGCCAGGGCTAAGAAAGCCAGGGCTTATCCTATTACTACATTTTCACTACTCCCGCTCACCCACTCTGCCAAAACTAAACCAAATACCTCCGATGCTTACTATCTGTATCATCCTGGACAAGTCATTTAACACCCCTGAGCCCGGCTTTTCATCAGTAAAATGATGTGGTTTTACCAGAGGGCCGCTGATCCCCCATCCAAGTCTGTATTTATAACCCTGTGAGTAACCAATGGCCTCAAAGACCAACTTACCCAAACTCCTTGTTTTATAGAGGAGGAAACAGACTCAGGTCTTCTGAGCCCCAGTCCAGCCCTGTTCCAGCCTGGTTCAGTACAATTCAACAGACATTTTTAAAGCTCCTGCTATGTGGAAGGAAGATGTCATTATCATTGCTACCCTGACTCTCTCTGCTGGATTGGGTCCCCATTACAGATCATAATATGGGGAGCCCTGAGTAGGAAGGATCGCATCTCTTTGCATCTCCCAGCATAGAGCTTACCCTTATTTGTGCCCCTTTTTTTAAGAAATATGAATTATGGCAGTAAATCTAAAGAGGCAGGAAGCACTGTCATGTGTTGGAAACACCATCTGTTGGGAGTTTAAGCTGATTCCTCATCCCCACCACGTAGCTGCATGAGCCCCGGCAAAGTCCCATCACCTCCAGGCCTCCAGTCCTCGTTGGCTGAATGACAATAGCAACTTCCCCATCTACATTTCACCAACATGGGGATCAAGTTAGATGTCGTGGATGAAGGCACAAAAGTAAGTCATCAATATTCAGAACATCTCATTTGAAAGCTGCTCATCAGCGATGCTGAGACAAAGAATGGTGCCTACAGCAAGTCGCTTCCTGTTTCTGGTCCTCAGTTTCTCCATCTGTACAATTAAAGGGTTAGAATATGACATCTAATGTCCTTCCCAGATTTATAATCCTGTAAGCGCCGTCACAAGTCGTGTAGAACAAGGCTAGGTGAGTGTTTGGTTAGCTGATCTACCTGTCTATCTCAGAAGAGATGTGAAG